TTTGTATCAATACAGACTTATTTTAGATTTTTATGTACAGCGTGAAACACGTTTAGTTCTCTCTAAAGTACAACAAAAATTAAATTTAAAATTACATACACTAAAAAATAAAATATTAGAAATTAGATAAGAAAAGTTCAAGTATCTAAACTTTAATATATTATTTAAATATTTAATATCAAAAATTAAATAGAAAGAAAGCAACACTAAATTTATTGAGAAATTTATAATCGATGGCAGGCTAGATAAAACATCTGTTCTAATAGTTTCAGATTAATATAGAATATCCTGCATAAATGTCGAATTGTTAATGTATAAAAAGAGCCTATTGCGCAGCAAAATTGAACATTCGAGCTTGAAGACTCTGTAATTGTTTGGAATAACACGGAATTTAGACTGTGAGAACTAATGCCACAACTAATTGAACTTATAAAAGAATACAAATAAAAAAATCTTGTATGTATCTTGGCACTTGGCCAGGAATTTTCGCCCTTTCTTCTCGTGTCTCTCTCTACCGCACCCGCGCCCAGAGAAACGTATGACACAAGTTCGAAGTTTCCGTATTCCAGTCACTGCGAAAGTAATTTTGCCTGACGCGGAAACTTTAGGATCCCCTATGTAATTTAAAGAGAAGCGAGGAGAGGCGGAAGAAATATCGGAATCCGGAAAGCAGAGTAATGGAGCAGACTTATCCGCCGCTTTTGTCTCCCAATCTTGCAGATTCACGTTTCGATTACGCTTTGAGGTTCCACATTCCTCTCGCAGTCTCACTTAATTCTTATCTAATGCCTTATCAATATCTCTATAAATATATTAATTACATAATTCTGCTTCTGACTTTCTACTTATTATATAACTTGTTCTCAAATTATATTACAATAAGTTGTAAATCTTTTCAAAGAATGCAAGTTGTTAAAGTTTAAAAAAATTTAATGCCGATAGAAACGTTAGGATTATTGTGTAACTCTTCAAGAGATTATTTTAAAGGAGAAGATAAGAAATATATTGAGTGAGAATATTTCTTTCTACATGTGAGAAAATTTCAATTTTTTGGAATTTTTAGATAGTTTCTCGTATGTAGCACTTGAAATAGCACGCAGCATATTATGTCACCCGGTAGATTGAACAAAAGGTTGCACAGCGTGACGTCCGGAAAATTCATAAGCTCACACGTGTGGAAAAAGATAAGTCTGACATAGACAAAAATACGAATGCAAATGAAGATGAAAATTGTAGCTTTCTATTCTATACTACCCTTTTAGTTGAGTCTGTTTTCTATAATGCCCCTCTTTCTCTTTTCTAAAATTTCTATTTATATTCTTTTCATCGATAAACTGAATATACATTTTATTTGATGCAGAAAGTATGAGAAACAAATGTAAAAAACCTGAATTTTTTAATCAAACAAAGTAATGAACTTATCGACAAGCGAATTTATCAGAATATTAATCAATTCTTCAAAGTCTATAAATATAATAACTATTTAATTATTACTTAATAATTACTTAATTATTATTATTAATTTATCGATGTTTTTATTCATTTCTCATTCTGACATTTGTTATAAACATATGTGAAACAATTAGAAGAGATAATACGAAATAAAAATTAACAGAAAACTTCAACTAACAATTTTGAATTACTTTTCATTAAGAGTTTAAATATTGAGCCTTTAAATCAGTTTTGTTCAATTTGTATTAATCCTTTTTATTCATTTTTCTATTCTTTAATTTATTAATTTTTATTTTCTATATTATGTGCTATCATTTATATTTTTCAGTACAAGCTAATTTTAAATTCAATCTTAATTAATTTTCTACATTTCGTGGCGAGATAATCTCTTCAAACAAGAGAAAATGAATGACGCGACGACTAACGCGAAAAGTACGTTAAAACATGGAAAATGCATTGTTCGAGGAAAGCGGGAAAAAATATTTTTCGCATACGGTAGTTCACGTGCGAAAAAAACAATTCCGATGTAAATAAATGGAAATGTGAGAACGTGCGGCGCATGCATCCGAAACACGAGGATAAATTTAATACCGTGACGCTTACCGTAATCCCGTATCGCATATATACACGAATAGGTGAGTGGGTCCTTCGAGGGATGCACACGTGCACGAATCTGATAACGAACGCACCTGACCCCCTTTAACGATACTCGCAAGACGTCTTGTCCTTTTCCACGCCCCTTCTCACGGTCGATACAGTAACATCGGATAAGCTACGGAATAGGATTATCTTCTGTCCCCTGGTATCGCATGTTAATTAGAACGTAGCTATTGTAGGAATAATTTATGTATTTCGTGAAAATTGGCTGGATAATCTTAATTATTTATAAATTTTCATAGCCAAGATACTTATTATCTAAATTCTCTTAAATTTCCTATTAATTTCTTTCTTTTCCTTGCAAATTCCTCTTTAGCGCAAAACTTTAATCATAATAATCAAAATTTTAATTAAGATCTTGCTAAAGCCGAAAGATTAGACTGTGAAATTTACGAACAAGATCGGCTTTGGAGGAGGGACTCTCAGACGAACGAATCGGAATGGACGAGAGGCAAGTTGCGTGAAGTTGCGTCGTCGTTTGATAACCGCCCGGTGATATCGGCCAATTAATATGTATACAAAGCGCGTCGAACTCGAAACATTCACGGTATTATCATCGGTGCTTTAAAGCCCATCTTCAACAACGGCACACGATGAATGGCCAGTTAAATCAACGGGCACCATGTGGGCCAACGACCAGCCGCTTCCCGCGAGATAAAAGTACGCACTGCACGATAAGCCCCGCGACGGATTCATCCTGCCGAAGACGTGTGGGTGCTGCGCCGGAAGTGGAACCCCCCCACCGATGGGGTGTCTCAAGCGACACTGATTCTCACAAATAGCAAAATCTAAATTTAACCCATTTATCTATCTTCTTTCGCAGTAAAGTTTAAAAAAAAGTAGTTGATTCTCTGTGACGTCTAATCTTTTTTAAATTTCTTGAATTTACAAGTATATTAATAATCTCGCTTATTCAGATAGTGGAAATGGATTATTCAATTCCTTTGCAGTTTCCGACTCCGGAGTAGACGTATAATTATATTATGTGTTCGCTTAATGTGCAATACGTTTTTGTATTCGCAGAATATAATCTTGCACGGCGATGCGAGGGAACTAAATCGTAAATGTCAAACGGCAGAATATTACAATTTCATTCGACGATAAGGAAAAGAGGAGATGATAATGAATAGGTCAGACGAACAGCAACCGCCTTCGCGAACAATGACGAATAGCGCGGTGAAAAAAAAGCGTCGCCTCGTGAGTGTATTAAATAAAGCAAGCGGATAAAAACATTGATATAGAAGTATCAAAATGATTCATAGGCAGACAGGCGCGACACGCCGGAAGCCAGTGATTGTTCCGAAGGGTGGTGAACTTCTGCCGAGGGTCAATTGCCTTTTTGTCAATTAGCTGACCAAACGAATTTTAGTGGCGACGGAAAATTAGCGGATGTTAATTCTAGACTACTTGAATTCGAGACTAATCGAATGATATTATATAGATAAATGATGAAGAAATATTGTATTATACATCAATAACTTCATTTTGTTCTCGTTCTTTTTTGGAAATATGATATACTTGCTATACAAATATCAACCTTTCCGAAACTATATGCAAAAGTTATTTAGTATTAAACAATTTTTACAACTTCAAATAATTTGAAGCGCACTGTAATAATCATATTTTTCGATAAATTTTGATTTGACTTTGAATCTGCAAAATTTTTATTATAATCTTCTCTCTCTTTCTTTCTCTCTTAAAATATTTAATTACATTGTATCGAAATAATTAAAACTTTATTTTAAAGATAGCAACAAATAATGGCTTTCAATCAAAATGTTTTTTACAAATATTGACTTTATCATTGTGCAAGAATATCCTAACCGATCAACTCATATAATTCCTTCAATCGAAGGTGCAAACATCATAGAACGCAATAACTGAATAAATGAATAAATAATTACATAATATTGTACTCGATAGATCAAGAGACATATTGTAATAATTTGATTTTGATGAATTTATGATGAAATACAATTGTCAAATCCGCAAATGCGAAATGTAATATTTGCGCAACATGAATATTCTAACAAGGGTAGTATGTAATGTTATCTGGCACACACATATCTGCAGATTTATATGTATATACACGGATTTATAATATAGTATACTATGATAATAGCGGCAACGTGTCATCGCGATTGAATTTAACAGATGAAATTATCGAAATGCAATCTGTTTCTCGGAAAATATGGTATCGCTCGTGAAAAAGGCAATTTAGCGATAAATGGAGAATTATGGGATCATAAATGTCGCAAGCGATGGATTCTAGTTATAAATTACAGTAATAAAACAAAAGGGAAGAATGAATCACAATTTAGCAAACATTTTGCGCCAATGACAAAATTTCGAAATTAATAGTGATTTAATATTAACGAAGTTCTTTTTACTATTTTTTTACTATCTTAGTAAACAAATCAAGTTTTATTTTTCATTTAATTCAAATTAGCCCTTAAATAAATGCTATTTAAGTTGAGATTCTATTTAAATAAAATAAATTTTTCGAAATTAATTGGATATAAAATATTCTTTCTATCATATAAATTCATTTCAATATCATATAAGACATTAATATTTTTGTTGCAGTATTAAAAAAATTGATCAAAAAATTTCTACTTGTTCAATCTGTAAAATTATTCATAGATATTTTCAAATGTAATTTAAAACACATAATTTTTAATAATTTTGCAAAGATGACGTAGTATTCTAATTGTTTAAATCAGTGCTCTCGGAATAATGTGCACATTTCAATCAATTTTCATAATCAACACCTACTTTTCTTTTTTACGGTGCGCGCGGTAAGGAGAAAAAAGTAGACGTTGACTAATTCAAATCGATTGTGCAGATTCAGAGCATTAATTTAAATAATTTTCATCTTTGTATAAACTTACCAATCGTTGTAATTCTGATGTGATGCAATCAGTTGTCTCATTAAGGATTCTCACCGGCGACGATGTCGTTTCTGTTGAATTGATGCAAGACATACTTTATTCAGCACTTGTGACCGTTGATACCATTACGCGCAAGTCACTCTTCTCGGAAAGCGGGAAAGCGGGAATGCAGGGGTAGTAATGGCGGTTGTTTTTGTTGGCGGATTTTGCGACAACGCGAAATTAATGCAGCGACTCTCGTTGTATCGCGAATCTCCTAACCAATCAATCGCCATCGTTATACGTTATACGTAGTAACTTATGCACGCAGTAACACACTCCCGAAACACGTACTTCACGAAACAAACGCGATGATGCGAGTACAAGATGTCGGCCAACGCCGATAATCCCGACAATGAGACCGATTTCGCGCGACTGAGAATTCCGACGCGTTTACGCGTTACCGATTGCCCGAACTCACTCGCGACACTTACGGCACACCGTTTCGCAATCGTACGATTTGCGAATGACAATAAATCGTAAATCGGAAAATTACATCAAACGCGGAATTCGCGAAACAACGAACTTCACTTGCGGCGCGGCTACGATACGAATGTGTAGTAGCGCGCCTCCTTCAAAGTTCACACTTCGCATGCGCACAGCTCGCGGATATAAAGAAACGCCGCAGAGCCAATGACGACTCGCGCGCCCCATACCATAAAGTATATTGAGAATGAGAAGTGCTGAGAATTTGAAAAGCTGTCGATAAAGAAAGCCTCCCATTTGTCGGCGTAACACTAAAATAACCAATCAAAAATCGCAATTTTGAATTAAAAGCTTATCACAATTGTAAAAACAGGATGATCAATGCAAAATAGACTTAAGTGTTACATATATCTTCAATCAATTTCACTTTGTTAGTTTATGCTGTTCTATGTATATGTTGTGATATATGCCCAATTGTTTACAAATTATTATGCATTGAGCATTTTTATGCCGAAATATGCTTTGCCGTAAAAGGTAAAAAAAATATTTGTTTTAAAATAAATGAAAAATATAATACTTATATTTGATATCTAGTTATTACATCAGCATTGATAAAATAAGAATCTCTTAGATATTAGATTAAAAGGAGAAAATGCTGAAAAGAACAATATTAGACCGTTTTATTCTTTTCATCAATTAAGAGTTAATTATTATTTTGATATTCTGCCTTCATGTTGCAAAACTTTCTTGTTCAAAACGATTTAATTACGGAACTTAGTACTAATCTAACCTAACGTAACCTAAAATAAATCTACTTAAAATAAATAAAAAAATATCAAGAATTATTTTTGTAACAATATATTCAAAATTTACAATCTCATTGTAATGCTAGAATAAAATTTCATTGTTTAAAATATATATAATTTTAAAAACATCTAGGAAAACGAAGAGCTGTTGATGTTAATTTTAGTGTATTTATTGCTTTCTATGCAGTTAAAAATTTATATAATAAATTATTAATGATTATTTTCTATAAATTGATTCTTAATTCAAATGTGATAAATAAAGAGATAGAGCTAAAATGCAATTAAGTTCATTAATTTCTGTGCAAATTACGAGTACAGTTTAGTTTTTTTTTTAAATTTTACTTTTTATTTTTATAGGAGAAAAAGATAGGAACAGGTAGACAAGCGCTGTCGACAACTCTATCGACCGTCGAACTCCCTGGCGTTTTATCGGATGGTCGTTAACCCGGACATTCGCCGCTTCCTTCCTTCCACCTTTCGTACACGATTCTTTTCCGCAATCATCACGATCGTTCATCGATAATCCCTCAGGGCAAATATTCTTCTTCCAATGATGACAAAAAAACTAAATAAAAAGTGGAAAATAACATATATTGTAAAAAATTGTCACCGTCAAATTTGTCACATTGTGAGAAAATAGTATTTGGAAGAAATTTATATTATATACACATATAAAAGTTTTTTTTTATTATAAATTAATATTACTAATATAACTATTTTAACTTATTTTATTTTTCAGTTTTTATAGCAGTAAAAAGGAAGCTGCTTATAGCAGTAAACAGGAAAGGCCCGCAAAAGATGATAGTATGAGTTACACAATGATTTAATTGGGAAGAATGCAACGTACGTACAAGAAATCGTGATAGCAGTAATCTCACGTATAAACCACGATAGCAATAATTATTCGCAAGCGACGACGGGTTCATGTAAAATGAGGTAAAGATATGCGATTGCTATGAAGATATGCTAAATACTGTGTTAATTTAAATTCTGTTATTTTAAAATGCTTGAAAAAATGAAAATTCCAAAGAGGATTTACTTAAAAAAATTTGCTAACTATATTTGCTTTTTATGGATTTGCATCTTTTGTCTTAAAATTTAATTGCAAATATTTCAAAACAAAATTTAGATGATTTACATTATTTTCTCACTTTTGTCTTTATTAGCGCTATTCTTATTAATCCAAATCATCAAAGATTTTTTATTAGTGCATTAATGTTCTAAAGCAACAAATACATTTTTCAGAATCTTTTATTTAAAATATTCAAATATGTATGATGACGTTTAATATCTACGAAACGTTATTCATAATGTTAAATATGTATGATTAATATATATATATATATATATATATACATACACACACACACATACACATACACATACAACATACAAAGTATTAATATTTTTAATTAAAATATATATTTATACACAAGCTCATTAATTAATAATTTATTAAATAGATAATTATTTGAAATACTTAAATAATTGAAATAGCAATTTTTCTAACTAAGTTTTTCAGATGTATATTTTCTTAAAAATTACACATTTCGTAGCTCACCTTCCATAATTTTGTCTAACAGAAATTAGATTTTCTCACCGCCGATGACGATAACGATAATATCGAATTGATATCGATAGCGAGAATGAGTACATGAGAGCACGAGGAAGCGGGAAGAGGAGCGCAAGATTTTCGGTTCGGTTTCCTGCGGGCCTTTGCTCTGCTCCGCGTTGAGCGGAGCGGTGTAGTCACGCTTGGCAAGCCCGACACTGAGGCTCGAGTTGCACGCCGGCAGTTTGCAGTCTCCAACCGGCTATCGCGCGGTTTCAAACACTCCATACATATAAAGTAGACAGAGTGAGAAAAGTTAACAAAATCGAAATTCATGAAGACTGACGCGAGTGTAATTGTGAGGCGCTCAATTTTGAGGTAACTATTGTTGTCCCCATTTTTATAACCTAATCTGTGTTATTCTGTATGAACAATATGAAGAAAACTAATGCTACGTAATGTTAGTTGTATTCGACTTCCATTTCTGAGTACAACACATCTCTAGCTGTAATACAAAGAAAAAAAGTTGAACATCGAGAAACGATTATGCTCTCATGTTTTCAATCTCACTTTTCTTGACAAATAGTGCGAATCTGAGTGCTGAAATCGAATGGTCAAATACGTAAGACAGTGTAGAAAAAAAGAAAGAAGAAATTTGAACATATATATTCAAAGTACAAGGAGTTAAGTAAAACTGAAGAAAACAGAAACGTAAATCAATAAGAAGAATAGAGTGCATGAATTCGTAAACAGCATTTACGAAAGAAGAAAGAAGAATTATTTACTACATTAATTTGGAACATAGAATTACGATTGGACATTCGATATGGCTGCGGCCACTCCATTTTTCGGCAACTTTTCTTCGGATGCTGTGACCGGACTCGCGATGGAGCGCAACGATCGCTGCAAGGTTTGTTTATAGACTGTGTTTATAGACTGCAAGCAAAAAAATGTAATTATTTGATAAAATAAGTCAGTCGACGATATAATATCTGATGGTTGATTATATCGTATTTTCTGCAATCTTATATACACATCAGAGATGTTTACATTTATACATTTTATTTATATTATCGCAATAATTGAGCCAATCTTTTATAACACAATTTTATTAGCAAAGTATAGTGTTTATCTATCTTAGCAAAATATTGATAGATATCGTTGGGTTTTTCCTTATAATCCTTATAATTTTTCATTATAATCAGCATTTAAAGATTTAAGATAAACTTTAAATTACTATTTAAATGTTATTTCCATCTTTAAGAAACAACGATACACGTTAAAGTCTGAATGCTATGACTATTAATTCGAAGTTATCCAATACATGTTTGCATCTCGCTTTTGCAATGCTATCCCGTTTTCGATGCGAGAGAACAATAAATTTGCAACGATTTGTCGGCAATCCGTTTCGAAATTTCGGCCGAAAACCCGTAGTTCCGGCGGTCGGACAATACTTCATTTTCCAGATGCCGTCCAATGTAATTTCCTGCGTGCCTTAAGCGTGAAAAATCGATTCGTATGTCTGTCGATTGAAACTCCACTTTTGCAATTATTTTAAATATTTTACATGACTTATTTTGCATATATATAAAAAATCAAATTAAAATGTCTTATATATGTTATCAAATTTACATTCTACTTTACTTTTTTTCGATCAATAATTTTATATTAAATTTTTTGCAGCATGTAAAAAATCCTGTGAGAGAACTATACGAGTACTGATCTGCCCTGTATAACGATAGAATATTAACATCGTTATATCATTATTGCTCCATTTTCATCTCTCGTAATCGTGTCTCTTACACTTCGTCGGGCTCAATATGAATATATCGATGTTAATGAATGCAACCACGCGACGGGTGTTACGGAAATGCACACACGAGAGTACCTGTAGGATCATCTATTTTAAAGCCTTACGGCTTTCGTGGATCAATTATCCGGCATGCGAAATTGGGTCTGCGAATTATCTATGTTCGCGCAAATCGAGAGAAATCGCGAAGAAACGAGGCCGCATTTAGAAACTTTATTGATAGCTATAAGAAGAGGTGATTGGATCCTAAAAATAGTCGACAGCGATTTTATATTCAAGTTTGTTTAAATTTAATATGACATCAAAAGTCATTCACTCCTGCAATATATATTGGAAATTCTTTTCCTAGTTATCTTAACCATTAACTGCTTCTCATCTTTATATCACTAATCATTAATTTTGAACTATCAATTAACTTCTTTCATTCAAACTGATAAATCGAACGCTCGTAACGTTCTTTAATTAATGTAATTAATCATAAATAGAAAAGCTAATGCTATTAAGAAAACTTTCTTGCGTAATGAATTTCCAAAGGAACTAGGTGACAAAATTGCGGTTCTTGGCATTATTACCGGGTGTTAAGTTCAGGCTTGGACAATGGTATCTATTCGAGGAATTAGGGACACCAGTGCCGTTGTGGCTCTGTGTACGCGCGACGTGAGGAAACGATTTGATGCTTTGGGAAGGGAAGTCTGCTCTCGCAGGAGGGCACCGTGCCAGGAAGCCGATATTGCTGCGAACGAGACCCCGCGAAGTGTATATGTGTGAGTGTGCATGCGGGGTGCGACCAACTCAGTCTGACAGTTAGCTTTCATCGAAAAAATTTTATGTCAAACTGATCATCCAATGAAAATTTTTTATCAGAAAACAATCAGACAGTTCAAATCACCGGAATTTCCAAATTGAATATAGGATTTTATTTTTTCCAAACTTTATTTTTCAATCTTTCGATAATCAATTAAATAGTTTTAATTTGTTTTGGCAGGTTTGTGAAACACTTGTAATAAATCAAAAATTTTGCAAATTCTCATCTTTTGAAATAATTAAAGTGATAGACTACACGGTAGCGCAATGAGCGCTTATCGAGATAAACTGCAAGAATTTTTATCGCGATTTGCTATCAAAGAGTCTTACACAATCTCTCTGTATAAAAGTACGGATGCCAGAAGACCGGTCTTCCTTTCTTCGTAAATGTCTAATAAAATTTAAAAAAAAAATTACAAGCAGTCGCGGAACAACTCGCGAGTAAGCTTTATTCAACGAGGCAAATCTTTGGGAAACTAAAACAGTGTTAACCAAATACGTGTATTATCTGTAATTCTTTAACATTCTTAACAACTTTTTGAAAAAAAAATAAATGAAGAACTTAATGTGTTTTCTTTGTTTGATTCTCTTTTTAGAGAACAAATGTGCAAGAAAAACATGTTTAGTGTCACAATTATCAGTTATGAACAAGTTACATGAATATTAAAATCAAGAATTATTTAAGAAGAACTAATTTACATTATATTTTCACTCTCCAAATTGTAAAAATTTCTCATCAGAAAACAGATATTAGATTCCTAATCGTTCAGGCAATATCAGGCAAAAGATAAAATATCTCAATCTCTTTTAATAACTGTGATAATCATGAAATCATGTAATTATGTAATTATATCGTTGAGTCTTCTTGTTTTTTTGCGTACGATTCCATGACAACTTTGGAATGAAATTATTACATTTGCGCGATAAAGTTGGATTTCTTGTTAAAAATTATTTAAAAGACTCTTCTTTAGATAAAATAATAATAAAACATAAGTAACAAGCTAATATAGAGCTGAGCTAGATGTTTAGGCTCGTCGATTTATTGTTTTCACTCGCGTAAGACAACATAAACGTTTCGATCTTCGGTTTAGGCCATCTTCAGTAGGAACACAAAATTTATAATTTATACGCCATCGCAGTTATATAATTTAAGTAAATGACGCAATAAAAACTCAATAAAAACGCAACGTAAGCTGAGACAGACATTGTTTTTATATTGCAATAAAAACTTGTTAAAACGAAGTGAATCATGTCCTTTTAATAAAACTCAGAAATGTCAAATGATCAAAGTATAAAATGTGGATGTCATCGAAAACCATTAGCCTTGCGATAGTTAAACAATTAAAATATTTGTTGAAATCATAATGTTGTGTATAACCGATTTTTTGATTAAAAAGTCCGTCATGATAAGCATATAAAAACAAAGCTCAACCTCTTCACAGGTAAATATCTCAACGAGAGTCGGAAACCAAATAACACTTGGATTTCTTGTGTAAAAAAAAAAACATATTCAGAGATAAATATTATCGTGTCATGAATTTCTTAACAGATCCGTAAGTTCGTTGATTTATTATCCAAGAGGCTCGACGTTTTCATATTAGTCAATTGCAGTCAACGGCCGCGACAAGTCGATTCAGAAGAATCAGGCGCATCGTAAACGTGAGTGCATGCCGACTATGTGTGCTATCGTGCATAATCTACGTAACGCGTGTGCTACGGACGTCGTGTGTGAATGTCTGAATATTCGTTAGCAATTTTCTAGAAGCATTTTTGACAAAAAAAACGCGTACTACTTATTTATAATGTGTGACATAGTCACAAGTCATCATTATTCACTACGAAGGAAGGGGGTCATTCACAATCATTTGTGGTGACTATTCGTTGTAGAGAAATAGGCAATGAGCGATAACTGCGACAGCTGTATGCGTTTGACACGGCGTAGGATTAAACGATAAACTTTGCCTTCCCCCGTTAAATAAAGATATAGTTTTAGTTTTTATGTCGTAAGGTCAGGTTTGCGCCATTCGAAGCTAGTAGCAAGTAATAGCGCGTGGGAAATGACGCAAATGCAATGAAGCAATCAATAATTTTATCGCGATTTAGTCATGATTGTCGAAATTATTGAGCAAAATTGTAACTGGCAATATTTTTCGAGAGAAACGACGAGAAAGACGATGTTCTCCTAGAAAATTCTTTATTTTTTTTTTTAAGTTTAATTTTCTAGAATTATTCACATATACATACATCAAGGAGGATCTATTTAATCTCGAATACTTAAGATCTCGATTATGAACGCAGATGCTGATTTGTTTGTTTAGGAAGGTCGCAAGGGGATGTGGCACTTAATCTTTTTGTTAATCGGCACGGCGATGGCCGGTGAATCCGAACCAGAGCCACTATTGGAGATCTCCGAGGTGCCGTTCGAGATTAAAGCGCCGTTACCTTATGAAGAGGCATTTCCGGCTCCGCTTCCTGGCCTGCTATATCCCAGAGAAAGTGAATCTCGTGAGGTAAATTTTAAGTGACATATTCTACGTGCATTCGATATTATTTACATCTTCATTCTTTTTGCAGGTAAAATCGCTCGATGGATTGTGGGACTTCGTCGTATCGCCGGAAGCAGATGCGCGTAAGGGTTACAAGGAACGATGGTTCATCAATGATTTATCTAAGGTATCACATCGATAACTTAATATGAAATAATAAAAATAAATATAGTATATTTTTAATTAAATTAGAAATTCTGATTCGTTCATGATAACAAATCAATGCAAAGTTTATCAAAAAATTCGTAATAAATATCAAACTGAACTTGATGCAAACTCGTGTTCAACGTCCTTGCATTGCAAGAGTACATTTTATAATTTCCTGTAATTACACGTTGTCATAACTCCGTAATTAGCGAGGATTGTGTAAAATGACTTTGCAGGCTGGCGAAATAATCAAAATGCCAGTGCCTTCGTCCTACAATGACATCACGACATCGCAGGCTCTCAGGGATCACGTCGGCGCTGTATGGTACCAGCGAACCTTCTTCGTACCCTCGTCCTGGAAGGATCAACGAGTGTTCGTCAGGTTCGGTTCGGTCAATTATCTCGCTCAAGTGGTAAGCTTCCACATCTTTCCTTTCTTAAGCGATTTAAATGCAGCTTATAAAAAAAATCTACAAAATCTATGTTAAATTATTTTTTTGGCTAAAATAAAAAATATATTTTTAAATATTATGTTTGAAAAGAAAAATATTATTTGCACAACATTTAAAGTATATGTTTTAAGTAAATTACAAGATACTAATGTGATTCACGAATGGTTGTATGTGTCTAGTGGGTGAATGGTGCTTTGGTGACCAATCATGAAATGGGTCACCTGCCCTTCGAGGCAGAGATCTCGTCATATGTGGCTTTTGGTGACAAAAATCGCATCACCGTTGCCGTGGATAATACTCTGCTGCAGACCAGCGTACCCCAGGGTAAGCTCGTAGAAATGAGTACCGACAACGGCACCGTACATGTGCAGACTTACACTTTTGACTTCTTCAATTACGCCGGAATACACAGGTAAGTGGAAAATTATTTTAATCCTTTGTTCGAAAAATTATTTGTTAGAAATTTAATTTGTACGAATAAGTTTCTCCTAATCTTTTTTTTATCTGTTTGGTTTTCTTTAAATCAATGAAAAATAGATAAATTTGAAAAATTAAAAGAACTTTACTGTAAAATCAAATCTCTAATTCTGGAAAGTTGAACTAGTTAAAAATGTAGGTTTAACACAATTATATCGAATAAAGAGAAACTACGCGGAACGTAATCACATTAGCGCTACGCAAATTCGCTATTGCGTTACAAGGGACCTTTCGGGTTCTCTGAAGCGACGCGCGAATTTCGCTCGTCACAAATAGATTTCTATCAAGGGCGCTTTGTAAAAAAAAACTAGATAGAATATCCAACATGTTACGCGACGATTGAGGTCGCATGTTCACGAGATTTCACGCTATTCTACGAAAAAAGGACTCCATTTTATGACGCAGAAGAATGGAGATTTAAATCAGATTATTTTAATCGTATACAATAATTTAAATCTAATTAGCAACAAGTAGAACAATTCCAATTTGAGGAGCAAACAATTTGAGGAAGACTAAACTGATGTATAAAAATGAATAGAGTATACAGATTTTTTTTTTATAAAAAAATTATAATAATACATTCATACTCTCTCTTTCTCTCTCTTTCTAATAAGAAAATATCCAAATATTCTAATTAATTTTAGTTTTTAGATTTAATATTTTTCTATTGATTTTAAATTTCTCATTATAAAAATAAATTAATACAAAAAAATTAAATGTATGATTATCTTACTGTTCCTGTAACACTTTGAAACATTTGACGAAACTGCAAAAGGTCCGTTTTGCTGTACACCACGCCGCGTGTCTACATCGAGGATATTACGGTGAGAACGGGTTTGATTGGAGATATGGGAATTGTCAAGTACATGATACAACCAGGTGGCTTGCGCGAGGGTGAGACACCAATCTGTAGAGTCACCTTGCATGACGCCGAGCATACTTTGGCAATTAAAGAGCCTGTCTACGGTCTATCCGGTACTCTGAAGGTTCCGCTGGCGAGACTCTGGTGGCCTAGGGGTATGGATCCCAAGCCAGGATACCTGTACACTTTGGAGGTTTGGGGAACCAATAAAAAAATTCTAATAAATAAAAAAATTAATTCTCTAATGTGCAAAGAAATTTTTGAACAATTCAGAAAAATCTTTATCATGTAATATTTTTGTTTAAAAAAATTATAGTCGCTATACATTGTTTAATTGTCAACTTAAAATTGTCCACAAAAAAAAAGAAAAAGTATCACTCTGTATAAAAAGTTAATTATTTAAAGATTTTCAAGTTTGGTCATTAAATTAATGCTCGTTTCTTTTTAGGTGAGATTGTCGATTGCAAACCTCACCACACCGGACATTTATCGATTGCCGATCGGTATTAGAACCTTGGCATGGAACAACACGAGTCTGCTATTGAATGATCGACCAGTGTATATGCGCGGTTTTGGCAGACATGAAGATTCGGCCATCAGAGGACGCGGTTTTGATCTGGTCACCGCTGTCAGAGATTACGAATTGCTTCAATGGGTCGGTGCCAACGCTTACAGGACTAGCCACTATCCTTACAGCGACGAGGTTCTCGACATGGCTGATAGGTATCAAAAATTTTGATAACCCAAGAATTTTTTTTCAAGAATTAATTTTTCTCATATGTTATATTTTACTCTATTCTAATTTTTGTCTATCCTATTTTGAAGACTGGGCTTCCTCGTAATTGACGAATGTCCTTCTGTCGACACGGAAAACTTTTCACCATCGTTGCTCTCACGCCACAAAGAATCACTCTCGGAGCTCATTCGCAGAGACAAAAACCGACCCTCCGTAATCATGTGGTCTCTGGCGAATGAACCAAGAACTCAGCTGCCTCAAGCCGAGGAGTACTTTAGGCAGATCGCTCATCACACCAAAGGAATCGATCCTACCAGGCCAGTTACTATTGCTCTAGCTCGTGGAGTGCAGGTGAGATACTGCGCGAATAAATATACAAAAAGATGAAAATAAGAAACACACACATGTTCCTTACTTACCATCTTACTTATTTTTAAAAAATGATTTGTATCAATTCTTAGAAAAATAATGCACCATTGATTACAATTTAATTTTTTGTCTTTTACAATTGTCTATAATTTGAAAATTATTAATAAATGGACATTATGAATTTTAGGAGGACAAAGCTGGTCAGTTCCTCGATGTGATTAGTTTCAATCGTTACAATGCTTGGTACAGCAACGCCGGCAGAATGGACATGATCACCGACAGAGTTCAAGGAGAAGCCGAGGCCTGGCATAGGAAATACAATAAACCGGTACTTATGTCCGAATATGGAGCCGATACTATGCCAGGTTTGCACGAGGTAAGATTTATCAATCAAATATTTAATTTTATCTATATCATATTTAATATATTTCAATTCTAAAATTGGAATTTTTTCTTTGATTCTATGCATTAATACTTTATAGCTACCGGAATACGTATGGAGCGAAGAATATCAAAAGGAATTGTTATCCAAACATTTCGAGGCATTCGATCAATTGCGACACGAAGGTTTCTTTATCGGCGAATTTATCTGGAACTTTGCCGATTTCCGCACAGCGCAAAGTAAGTATCGAATAAAATCGTATTTTATTCATTACTAATTTATCATAATATTTTTTAATCTGCCACAATTTCATACTAATATTCATAGAAATTTGCATCGGCACTATTACAATTAAGAGATATATTATTCAAAAATTAACTAATTTTCAAATTAATTACCTTAAAACGATTTCTATTGATAATTTCGATATTTGCCGATTATACAGCATACACCAGAGTGGGTGGTAACAGGAAGGGAATCTTCACGAGAGACAGACAACCAAAAATGGCAGCTTATCACGTCAGGAAAAGATATCACGCTCTTGCAGTCGAACTAGACGGCGCGCAGATGCCAAAAGATTACGAGAATTATATTTTAAACCACTATGACACTTCCAATTTGGATTAAATTAAAAAAAAAGAAGGACCGGCGCATAAGAATTGTTTTACAAGTCTTAATTTTCGACAAAAATAGACGCGTTTTTGTCAATAGCAAAGGTTGCACCGCTAACTTAACTATATTCATAATATATATTCTGCAACAAAATTATTTTTTCCATCAAAAAGATATAAATTAATTCGTCCATTCATCTAAAATTTATGTGTGCTCAATCATATAAGAAAAGTATATTTTAAAAAGTTGATATTATTTTCTGGCATTTATTTTTCTCCGCATTTAACTATCAATTTTTATATGCATTCTGTGTATTTTTATGAATAAATACTTCAAATAAAAAACAGCTTTACTGTTCAACATTTTCATATAAATATGCAATATACAAACATATCTACTGCTTATATCAAAGAAATAACAATCCTTTCAATACAGTACCATTTTTTATGAAGAATAATATCATTCAGAATGGTCCAGTTTCATCCAGTGGTTCCACAACCTTTAGACAGGCATCAGCCATCTCCACAAATATGGGTTCCTTCATAGCCAACGCTATCATCTCAGTGGGATTTGGACTATTCATAATTGTTGTCATAATATCGCGCACGTGAGGATTTTCGAGAACTTCTTTCAGTTCTTTGCTATGGCGCAACTTTTCCAGCTTTTCAACTAACACAGTGTCTTCTGTTGGAAATTTATATTCTCGCTTAACCACATTTTGATCTTCCTTAGAATTTAGAGGTTCTTCAGATAATTGTGGAGGATTGCAGGGTTGAGACTTGTGTTGTTTATAACATGCTACAGAGCAGCTGAAAGAAACATTTATTAATATTAATTATAATAGATACACAGCACATAGATATAAAATTAAAAATTAATTATTAAAAAAGAAAGTAATTAAAGTTTAAGCACAACTGAAAAAAGAGTAATAAAAGAGATGTTTGTTAGTATCAGTTTTTAAATATTATAATTTGATTTACAATAAATTAATAAAAACAAAAAAGTATACTTACTATTATTTCTGATACTGATTTAATAATGATGTTAATAAATGTTCATATTTTATATATATAATGTTATTGCTGTTTTTTTACAGGAAGTATATAACCTCAAATAAATATAACTGCAACCAATTACTACAATTGTACTTACTAAGGTGTTCTGCACGTTGGACATTTATAAGGTGCACTGTCCTTTTCGCAGACACAACAATTTTTAAGCGTCATGGTTCATATAATCACTTTCATAATGGATTACTTAGTTTATAAAATATTAGAACGCAACACATGTGATACACTTGTTTACGTCAAGTGACTACAAGTGATGTTGATCACGTGGTACAGCGTACGACACGTACGCCGTCTGCAGTTCGATAAAGGAAATAAATTTAAATTCAGCCGAGTTTTAAAGTACATTTATTATGTTTTTACGTAACAAATTATCAAGAAATAAAACAGAAATTTTGTTAATTTTCAAAAAATTCCAGTTTTTATTTTTATTGACATGTTTAACGTAATAATATTTAATGAATATTACTTCTATTTGCAACGATAATAAATATTAATAAATATGATATATTTTTGTTTTTGATAATATTCGTGTAATCTCAGATAGCCAAATGATTTTATTTGATTATCAAATTGAATTAAATTTGTTATCCATCTACCAACGTTACTCATATTTTGCTTACTGAAAATTAATTTCAAAGAATTTCTAATTTCTCTATTGATTATTATGTAGTACACAGTAATGCACAATAAATACTGATATTAATATTAAAATTTATATTAAAGCTCTAATTTTTATTAATTATTAATTAATGTTTTCATGCAAGTAAATTTTATAAGTATATAAATAAATAATATTTGATAAGTTTTAAATAATTTTAGATTAGGTTGTGCATGTATTGAGATTTATTGATAATTAATGAAAATCAAGTGACTTTCATGAATGTAACATTGATGTTTGTAATGTCAATAGTGTTAAGAAAGTTTGGAATTCGCGTTTGCGTAAATACTGTGACGCTGCCAAAGAGAGAAATTACGGAACAGGACGACGCATGGCGTATTTCGAGGAGGAGGCGGAACTGGCCTGGATCTCTAAATGCGATCTCATAGCGAATAGCGACACCGATGGAAATTCGCATTCTTGCGGTAACTTGACATACGTCACGCATGCCGGACATGGTGCGTCAACCAAACGCGCAATTTTAACATGATTTTATTTCACATCACGCGAGAACCAAATCTCACTTTAACATGATCTTATTTTACTTGAGGAGCGTAATTTCATACGTTCCCGCTAATACAAGTGTCTATAAAGAGTCGCTAAAGTCGTTTTGACTTTAATAAACTAAGTCTTCATGAAACACCAGCGTTAATCGCGCGTGCAAACATTATCGAAGAATTTCAGGACATTTCAATACAACAAAGTTCCCAAAGTGTCAATTTAAAAAACACCGAATAAAACTTTATCTTTGAAATATCAATTTTAAGCAGGATTCAGTGGTTAATCAAATTTATTTTATACCGTTTCAAAATGAAATTTATGTCATGTTGAATATGTGTGAATAAAGTTCTAAAAACCAGTTTAATTAAAACTGAAATTAACTAAACTTTAACTGAAATTAAAATAAATGTGCTTCGTCGTCGACGTCGTCGTCACTGTTTTTGAAAGCTTCCGATGTGCTGAAACTTTCTTCTCGAGGCCGATGGCCACGAGTAGAGCTCGCGCGCCAAGGTCATTGATTCCACCGACAGTTCCGGCTCGGTTTCTGGGCCAGGTTAACCGACGGACCCGCGACGGCGACGTCCGGAATACCTTCGCTCGCCGTGACGTCGGCTCGGCCTGATACGATAGACCGGTAACGAGCGAACGCTCAGCAACGGATTTAAACCTGTTTGGATTCAAAATTATAATGCGAATGCAAAATCCTCCCCTTCATCAATTAATTGGAGAATAATTAAATTCCATTATAAACTAATTAATTTTCACACGCAAATATTGATCAGTATTCTAATCAAAATATAAATTTTTTCTCAATTAAAGTATATATAATTAAATTAAATATAAACGAGTTAATCAAATTACATATTACTAATTGAATTTTAAATATTTGTGTTTTGAAAAATATATGACTTACATATAATTCTTTAAGATGACGTAATGTTTGCTTGGATGTCACAAAGTTTGTAGTTTGTTCTGCTAATGTGTAAATTACTATTCCTACTGGAACTATCGGCGCCTTGCGAATATTCTGCGCGCAAGTTAGCTGTTCATTCACGTCCAAATCCCCGTTCAGCAGCGGGGCATCGTCGGGCAGTAGCATGTGTTCCACGCAAATTCAACTCTTGAGGACCTGAAAAAATTTAACGTGAAGCTTCTGAAGCATCATACATAACTAAAAGTTTCACAGATAATTTCCCCGCTCAATAAATAAACGAGAGTTTAATGCATTCTTAAAAGTAAAGAAATAGTTTGAATAATCGAAGTTTCTTCAACTTTTACAGTTACAAAAAAATTTTGTAAATAATTTTAAAAGAAAAGGAGTTTTTTTCCCTCGCTATTTTTTTATTATTTAAGTCAAAGATTATCCGAAATTAAATGTCAATCAAATAATTTTTGCGATGGAAGTGATTGACCGCGTTCGATGAGCAGCGACGGCGGCTTGTCGCATTAATTGACTACATAAATTGCGACGCGAATTAAAACGGCATTCACGAGCTCTCGTGCCCGAAGATGGCACGCGGGTTTACCTTGAGGAGGTCGCGATGCGTCAACCTCCTCCTCCTTCTTCCATTTACGATAGGAGGATGCGATGACCCAGCGCTAGGAAATCCTCCTCCAAGTGATCGTGCCGAATCGCGATTGCACGTTTGCAGACTTCAGTTTTCCTCAGTTTTCCTCAGCTTTCCTCAGCTTTGCACGCTACAAAAATATAAAAATTATATAATGGTGTACGCAATTGATTAAATTTTTTCATGATTAAAAATTCAATGCTCCAATAATTATGCCTTCAATAACACAAATAATGATTTTAAGATTTCGTAAGAAAAAAAAAAATTCGCGCGTTGTGTACGAATCCGACAAAAATCGGATCGAACCTCTTTCGGAGTGATTCGCGCGCTTTGAGATCCCATCTCGGAGCAATCCCGAACACGATGACAGCATCCGGCATTCGCGGATGACGTCATACGACGGGGCAGCGGAGGTGGTGGCGGCAGCGATAATCGCATACGATGACGTCGGCAATGATCGCGAATCGGCAACAGCAGCAAGAGGAGGAAGGAGCCCGACAGCCCGAGAGCCTCAGCCGAGCCGACAGGAGCCGACGGCGCCCCGTTTCGTCGTGGGGCCAGTTCCTTCCAGTTCGCCGTGTCGTCGACTTCTTTCGAGTTCTCCGGTCGATTCGTTTCTTGTGATTCCGAGTCGAGCAGAACGCTACCGGTCGTCGAGCCGCGCCGGCCAGACACCGTCGACCATATGACAGTGACCTACTTATTGATTCCGGTATGCCTTACGGTTCGCGATACTAGTAATCCCGAGGATCGACGTCGACAAATCGAACCAATCGAATCGGGCGGCTCAGTGGAATAATAATAATAATAATAAAATAATAACAAATAACTCTCGAACGGAATTATAGAAGGTGGTTGCGTTTAACGATAAATGTGATTGATTTTCGATACTGGTACCATACTCTCTCAGTACCGTTGATAATACATTTAACGGTGAACTCTTAGGCGATTGTTTAATCAAGTGCAATCTTAAATCAGTTATTAAATAAATGGAACAAACGAAGTAAATCTAATTAAATTAGCAAATGGAATAACAGAAAAGCAGTGGAGTAGAACAAACTCAATGTTAGGTAATCACGTTTGAAAACTAATTTACTTATACGTAGTCACAAAAGTGCAACCTTAACTTGAAAAAAAAGAAAAAAGAAATGAGACTAGAAATTAGTTTTAAACGCTCTACATATTATTAAATTCTATAAAGTTTGAAACTAAAGTTTGTAACAAAGTGTAGTCGAAAAAGAGACTTTGATTGTTTTGCTCCTACTCCTCATCTCATCTCGATGGAGATACGCGAAAAACCGATATTGCGAATTTAGACGACGATTCCGGGTCGAAATCCGAACGACGTGAGAAACGGCCAAATAAAATTCTCGAGATCGACAAATTAATTTTTTATCATTGCCATCCACCAAATAAATTATTTAACAAATAAAGTTCCTCTCAACGTGATTCTCAATCCGTTTCCAATTTATCTTTTACCGTTTTACCGTCGATCCACGTCATGCCATTTTTTCGTCTACAGTTTTTACAAGCGGGAATAAGTTTACAACCATTGCTCTACAAATCCATATTTAATTTTAAGCAAATTTTATAATTAGTTTTGTAATTGCAAATTTAATGGTGGATATAGAGAATTAATGCGATGATTTTTATAACAACGTTACCGAGAATTGCAGCACTTCTTTATCATAATGCATGATTCATTAAAATGCTTACTTTTAGACTACAGCTATATCCGTTCATTTATGTAAATAATAATACAGCGTTATCATTGTGGTGTTATCACCGGCATCGAGAATTAGACGAGCATGTTTAGCATTGAACAGTCTCAGCCGGATAGAATTTCAGACGATAACTAATTCAACATTAGCGGTACATAAAAATTGGAATCAGATGACATTCGATCGATTGAGATCATTTTGGTACAAAAAAGTGTAAAGTAAATACAAGAATCAAGTAGACATTAAATTTGGCGCGTAATTATTATCGTACTTTTCACATGAGGAAACTGCGTGAATTTTGATTGTGACGTTCGCGCAAACAATTAATGATTCAATTAGTGTAAATGGATGAATTTGCTTCAGAATCGAGTCTTGATCGATTCTTCTTCGATCGCGAATCTATAATTTCGCGAGCAAGAAAATCTACGAAAAAAGCATGAAGAATATGTGTTATTTTTATATTACACTGTCATACTATCAAAAAGCATCGGAAAAATTGTGACCGATAATAAGAAAACTTCATGCTTCGGCGCACATCCTGCGCGCAAAGAAACTTTGAAAAATTCAGGAAGGCAATAATTTAATCTCGGCATTATGTGACTGCGTGCCAAAATTGGCAACCACTTGTCTCAATACACGAGATCTTATACAGATGTTTGTCACGTCATTTTTTTTCCGTCAAGCCGAAATAAATATGTAAATTTCTGGTAAATTCGCTATCACATTAATCCTTTTGAACTTGTCTACTTTTTGTTTCTCACAATAAAGATATTTCAGATGTAAAACAAAGTGCTTTTGCCTGTGTTCAAATAGAACTAATGTTCTTGGTGCTAAGTCTAATATATTTTATTAAATTAATTAAATTTGAGATAAATGAATATCAAATCTATACTTATTTATTTCAAAAAGACTCTTTTTTTTAACTAACTTGATTATTTTTACTTGTGAAAAATAGCGCGTTTTTGCTTATATTTTCTTTCATGAGATCTCGCGACGTTTTTCATGCTCCTTTAATTGTAGAATATCCTGCCGCAACTAATGAAGGATCAGGACAAAGTTCATTTGTGTATCTCATTCTTTCTCTCTGTGAAGAATGACTCGCGAACTGGAGTTCATCGACGGAAATACATCGCGCGAGTCAGAACGCCTTCCGACGCCTTCTCGCCTAAGTAACATACTTTGTCTGTATACATATCTATATACCTTTTGACAATAAAACGCGTTACGTTAAGATATTGTACAGTGCAGTAATTCATCTTTACTACATTCGCACAAACGTATATGATTGCTGCTAATTTTGTTTGATTTAACTTCTACTCGGACTTTCGTTCCATTCTGTTTAATCTTAATTAATTTTTTTCAATTCTTTGATATTAAAAATTTTTGCAACATATCACGCAGTCTACTGTACCAATTTTAACAGAAACTAATGAATATCGCGTGAATCAATGCGATTCCATTCATGCAATTTTCGGAGTATCGAGACGCGTGTCTCGGAGACTGTCGCGACGACTGGTTGCTTCCTCCGTTGAACCGTGACGGTGCGATAAAAATGCCAGCAGTTAATTGGCCCCTGTGTACACGCGGGATCGTGCACGGATTTACGTAATACGCGAATTTCTGACAGACTCGCGTTAATGTATGGAGACGGACGGCACTGCTAGACATGACATGCCGATTTTGGCTGACAACCGATTTGATTTTCATAAATTGTCTTTTGCATGTCATGCGCGTAAAAAATTATTTCTCTCTCTCTCTCTCTCCCTACAATAATTTTATTATATTTGTTATTGTGTATTGTAATATTTAACTCATGTTTTTCTGTGGTTTTTCTTCTTTAATGGATACTTTGAATAGTTTTTATTGCATATTGAATGTAAGAATGCGACTAAAAAGAACAAATTCAATATGCTCTTGTATTAATTTTTCTTTTCAGAAAAAATGAAAGACACGCGATGTGCTGCTCATTCAATCACAATGAATCGTAAGACTGCTCGATCGCGAATGCTCGGGTGTGCATGGTGACATCACCTGATGGGTTACACCTGTGCAGTATAGCGACCACTGTGCATTCCACAGAATCCTGAACCACGATAACCCGCATATTTTCAATTGAAAGTCCACCAAGAATGTACGCAATTCCTTAATAGGAAATGAGAGGTTGATCAATAGAATATATCTACAAAAAAGTGCGATCTCTTGATTATATTTTTGTCATGTATGAATCAAAATGTTATTACTATCTTTCTCTTTCTTTTCTTCTCTCTAAGACTTGAAGAATTTAAGTTTATTTCACGATAAACGCTGAGAATAATACATAATTTGAGAAAAAATTTCTAATTTGATAAAAATAAATTTCATTTTGAATCTGCATCTAATCTTTTAAACTGTAACTTTTTTCAAATTTATTTTTAGTTTTTATTTTCTTTCAAAAAAGAGAAAAATGAGAGAGAAAGAGAGAGAATTAATGTTTTATAATTTATCTATCCATCTCACATTACTTTCTGCAGATAGCTAGGCTACAATTAGAATTAGAAACTCAATACCGGTTCAAGATTGTCTGCGTTCAAAGCAGAGCCCTGACTTCTAGTTTTGTGAGCCAGAATAAGGGTTCTCAGAAGTAATCGAGTGACTCAATATCACTGGATCGTCGCATCTCAGATTCAATGATGAGGCAACGACGCTCTTCCGAGCGAGCGATGCGTCCGGATGAAGTCTTCATCGGCCGTGAGCGCATAGAGTCGGGTCGGTGGGACTTTCGTCCGTTTGCAGGACTCGCTGAGCAGCGAACATAACAAAGAGTTTAAAATAATTAGCATCTAAAATGTTTAATAAACAAGGAATCTAACCTATAAATTATAGGTGTGCGTATATTGTGTAATGCGTACATGAAATATCTAAGTTTTACACCAACGTTTATTTGAAGCCGAAAAATGATTATTGCTAGTCTTCGTTCTATCTATTTTTTTCAATAAATATTATGATACATATATAAAATCGCTACTTTTATGATCTTTAAATGTCTGTTTTGCCTTCGTAAATACCTACCTTATTCTTTTCTTACTGATCACTCCTGACGGAATACTTAATAAACATTGTCAAACATTTTCAAGATATTCGTCGTCTTTACTTTTATTAGCAATCATCTCTTTGAAAACAAAATAGAACTGCAATAAAAGAGAGAATTGCAAAATCCGTCACTTTACTAAATAATTTTACAATCAGTTTTAAGTTGTAAATATAGAAATTATAGGTGCCGACGATAAATAAATAGCGAAGTTAATGTTATTTCTGACATTATCGATAGTCAATACTGTTAATATCGATTCCATCATTATCAATAGATAAATAATGGCTGATATTTCTCAATGCTGCCATAATAAAAATAACCTTCAATTAACTTGTCATTATCCGTGAATTGGTAAGCTTGTTATTACCGTTATAGCCGTTACCAGGACGAAGAACAGAGGATCAGACAGAAATTTTCATCCGAAAATACCGCTTATCAACTATCTTCTGACGATTTTCTGTGCGTTTACGTCAGGAACACTTTATTTTACATATTTACACCTGTTTTGATATTACATCTTCCGCGTTGGTCAATCTGCTCTCACTTTCGCTCTTTCCTTGTCTTCCTTCTCATTCTCTCTTTCTTTCTCTCTCTCTTTCACGCATCACGCATTCATGCACGCACTTCACCTTTTCTCCTTCGAATTGAATATGAAGTTCCATAAATTAGAAAAGAACATCGTTGGCTACTTGTTAAACGTGTTTAACTAACTGAACGGGTCTTCGAAAACGGAATAGCAATTTATTCCTTTCAATCGAACGAATCACCCTTTAACCAGTAGTGCTTTCTTTTTTCTTTTCTCTTTAGTATACTGTTTCGCAAAAACCGAGGACAAATTTCACTCATTTTCTTTAAATTCTTAATAATATGTAATATTTATAACACAATGTGTAATATATTCATCTCCCATTTTATGACTTGACAAATCTTAATTTTAATGTGTAATCTAAATACAAATATGTTATCAATTTTGATATAAGCGACAGAATCGTTCTTCTATCGCGTTTACATAAAAAGTTATAAATATCCTGCCTGTTTCTAAAGCAAAATAATTGAATTTTTATATACTGGTTAAAGAGTCGCGATAAAAACTTCATTCACAACTACAGGCGAACAATTAATTAAGATCATAAAAATAACGAAGCTTAGATTACATTTATATCCTCTATATGATGTGTGAGTATACGTATTGTAAACAGATCCTTGGACCCTTGGATCTTCAATCACTGAATATTGTATTGTACGAATTGTTTAATTTTTTCAAATATATAACAACGTTTTGTATATTGTAGGATTAGAAGAATCACAAATCTGGTGACCATTAAGACTAAATGTTCAGGGATTAAAGGATTAAAATACAATTGCGGGAAAAGTGAGGATTTCCAAGGACATGGATACTCAAGGAACTCATATCGGTAGAATACTCGGGAAAGATACTCAAGGAGGTTAGTAATACAAGTGTTCTGCAATGTGAAAAAATTCAAGGATCTAAGAAATTAAAAGTCTTTAGACAAAAAAATCCAAGAATATAAGCCTTTAATTATCAGATTATTGGATCCTTGAATCCTTATATTCTAATATATATATACATATATATATGTATATATATATATGTATAATAATAAATATGTATCATGTATGTGTGTATATATCTATACGTATATATATATATTAGAATGTCCTTTAGTCGCTTATGTTCAAATACTGAAAACGTCATTGTTTTCTATTTTTGATAAATCATTACTTTTTTTAATGAATCACATAAATCCGAAATGTTTGTTAATTTTCTTGTTGCATTTGTCTATGTTTATTGCCGATTTTAATTAATTAATTAATTAAATTAATGTTAATATAATGCCCACACGAATCTGAAATGTCGACGTATGAATCATCGTGGAAAAAAAATTGCTTCAAATAAAAGACATCCTAATATTCATGTACGCCTGTGTAAACGTATGCATGTATACATTTTTGGAAGTGGAATGTTCGCATTATTGAGATATATCTACATTCAAGCGTTCGGATATTGTCGGTTTCTCGAGAAGCTAGAAAATACGCTCCATAGCCGGGAGCCGATTGCCGTCTCTCAATTTTTACGCTAACGTTGAGATCGCATAACCATTACAAAAAAAAAAAAAAAAAAATTTCCAATAAATATTCTCATCATCTCTCTTCGGCGTGCCCTCGAAGAGTTGTACTTCCCGCGATCGTTGTTCTGAGATGTGCGATAAGTGAAATGGATAGTCCAAAACGTCACCGAAATAAAGATAGAACTGAACGAGTCAGATATAAAAATTAAAAATATCGTAACAGTAATCGATAAGAAAATCGATCGAAAGAAACATTTTAATAATGATTTACTATTAAAACGTGTTCTGTTTTATTGTTCGATATTTCGTCAAGATATAAATTTCTCAATTATTGATTTATTTATATTATTAATCTCATTTCTGTCAGTTTAGACTTATATTTTGATATATATTATTTTAGTGACGTCACGGACAGAGAAATCTTTTCACGATAAGACAAATGTGAAAGGAATGTTTAACGAGCACAAAGCGATATTTTTCAATAGCGATATAGATCGTCGCAGAGTTTTCAAGAACGGATCGTTAGAAAGTCAACTCGTGAATTATTTTAGATCTTAGATACTCAGATTATTATGAAATCCTCTTGAGCCTTTAAATCCTTGGATTCTTGGACCCCTGAATTCTAAGATTCTTGGACTCATTATTAGATCCATGGATTTAGAGTCGTACACCTCGCACTCTCGAAGCGAAGTTCTCCGCGCACTTAGCCCATCCACCGGAGTGTACTGCGTGTTTCAAAAAAGGGATCAGTACTTTTACCTCGAAAGTATATAAGAATCCTCCAACGCATTTTTCTAATTCAAAGCCTAAATAGTGCGTAAATGGTGAAACATTAAAAATGAAAAGATTTAGAAATATATATTTAATTTCTTAGATTTGCAATTCGCTTCCTCGAAGCAGTTCGTCGTAGATCAGGAACTATTCTCGATTGAAAGCTCGTGAAATTAAGCAGATGCGATTTTTCATAAAGTTGAAACCTAATTGATCCCTTCTGGCTGACATGTTGCCTCGACACATACAGGTTGGCGAAGACGGTAACGTCCCGGTCGCGGCCCATTGTATAACGCGCCACAGCCGTTGGTCCTTCACACGATGATCCGTATTCCAAGTCATATAGTCCAAACCTGCACTTTCTCCGCGACGACGCACCAGCTGGCGTGGTCGTAATACGATGAGATGATATGCAGATTCTCGACGTACTTGTTGATTAGCTGGTCCAGCTCGCCCTCCCGAAAGACGTGGTAATACTGGTGATACGTGATGGAGCCGCCGCCGCGATCGGAAGGCAACGATTCCTGGGACGAGGCGTTGCTCAGAGTACCGGTTGTGCTTGTGGTGACTAAGCAGTCCGCGGCGTCGTCCCGTCTTCTCGCTTCCCGTCTCGACGTCTCGTCCAATGATCGGCCGCGTTCCTGCAATTTTCGTCGCTCCGTCGTGCATCGAGGATTGTTCTGCGCGTGGTTCGGATTCGACACCAAGGACATTGTGCTGCCGGTGAACAGCCTCGCTGTCGACTCCGTCCGGCTGCCATCGCTCAGGCTCGCCGTCGTGTTCTCCATCAGAGAATCGCCCACGTCGCTCGAGTCCATCGACAGACCGCCTTGCGAAGAGCACCACTTCGCAGCGCCCACATCGTCTTCGCACTCAAACTCGCCCGTCTTCGACACCATCACGAAGTCCAGCGTGTCGTCCGAGTTGTTGCGCAACAGCGGCGGAGCGTTGGCGCGACGTTGCTCTTGCTCGACGTGGAGTTTTGACTCTACAACGGGTCGCAAGTTGAGCGTGTTTTCAGGATTGATAAGCGTTCCTTGGCCTGTCAAACTACTCTTAGATTCGGGATTTAATCTGGTTATAAGGTCGAATTTAGCTTTTGATTTCTCTTCGAGGTTGAGTCTGAACGTCTCGTCGTATTTGGAAATAAATCTAGTTTCAGTCTCGGCTTCGAGCTCAACTTCATATTTCGATAACTCGGATACGGCATGGTTTTCGCTAGGGGTTTTCGATTCGAGTGTCAGCTCGGGTTGCACTGTATTCAACCCGTCATGTCCGCTTCCATCGTACGCTTTATTCACGACCCATGAAGTCTCTTCCGGCACTTGATTGTATTCATTCCAATTACAGGTCCGAACGGCATCCGATTCCGTCGTCAAGTTGCTGCTTGCCACATCCAACGACGATGACGTCCTCGACGTCTGGCGCAGCTCGAGGAAATCGAACGACTTCTGGCAGTACCGACTGATGTCTCGCATGAGATCGCTACTCGATTCATCGACGAAGCCACCCAGATCCACAGAGGCGGACTTCCGATCCTGCTTCAGGTATGATCGCGCGCGCACGCTCGACCGAGGCCAGACGCTATCGTTGTTCCGCCGTTGGGCGATCTGTGAAAATTCTACTTGAGTGTTGTGTTGAATCGCGGTCCCCACGGCATCTTCCAACGAGCTTGCCACGTTAGCGGCGGCCTCCAGAAGCCTCATAGACTGCGTGGAGATGGTTTTTTCGTTATCGAGAAAAATGCGCGGCGTGGGACAGATCGCGATGTCGGGTCGCGGATCATCTTGCGAAGCGGTGTGCATCATTTCGGCGTTCGCGAGCAGCACGTCATCTTCCGAAGTTGCGGACGAAATGTCATGCGGAGGATCGCACGGTGTGTCCTCGAGCATCGCTGTGCTTCCAAGACTCGATGATTCGTTGTCGCGTATATTTTCAGTTTCCTTCGTCTTCTCCGACTTGGAAACTTTTTCGACCACCTGCGTGTTGTTTTTCTTCTCAGCCTGCTTTTTTGCGATGTATCTTTCGTCCGACGTGACGCTGATCACCGAACCGACCGATTCCGGCGACGAGACACCGCTGGAATCGCTGTCTAGATCGTCAGTCTCCGGATTGAACAGTTCCAGAGACAAAAGACGCGGCAGAATCCTCGTGACGGACTCCAGACGACCCGAGGCCGCGGTCGAGGCGCGCCTGACCAACGGAAACGGCGATCTAGTGCGCATCGCGAAGCCCGGCTTTGCTATAAGCAGCTCCTTGATTTGATTCAGCCTGGCCTTCCGATTCTGGTCGTCCTCGCTCACGATCGGCTCGCGACCACCTGACATCTTGATGACACCGTTGAAGGCACGTATCAGCGGCGCGGTGTCCAGCTCCGCTCCATTGGGCTCCGGCGTCGGTTCCGATATCAGATCGAGTCCTCGCGACACCGGCGTCTGCAAGGTGTTCTCGGTGTTCTCCGTTTCCCCGTCAGGTCTAACCGAGTTGTCAGCGAAACGAGTATTTATATTTGTATTCGTAGGTTGCTGCTTTAATAACGGTGACACGCTGATCAACTTGAATCTGGAGGATTGATTGCCGTCCGGTGGCTGTTTAACGCGCGGCGACGGCGGTGCCGACATCGTGCCGAGCTGCAGTGCCGCCGGTCGCGGTGTGGAAGGAGCCTCGACCGACGACGATGATGACAACGTCGGCGCTGACGGCAACGGCGCCGGAGAGACGATGCTGTCCTGCTTCGGCACAAAAATCACCGACGCGATGCTGTCCTCGGAGTCCACGCTGGTGTCGCTTTGCAGGCTGCTGTCCTTGGACGAATCCGAGCCGTCCTCGCGCGAAAGACGGCGCTCAACGCCCTCGATGCTACGTTTCACCACCGTCACCGGCGGCTGCTGCGTCTTGCCGTCCACCGGTTTCGTCTTCGTCGTCGTTTCTGCCGATTCTGTCGCCGCATCGGCGAACGCCGATTCGTTCTCGCTGGACTTCCATCCCTGCAGCATCCGCACGAAGCCGTTCTTGATAGACATGCCGGAGACTTTCTCGATGTTCGTGGTGGATCGTCTGATCTTGCTGGTGAATCCGTTCTTTAGCAGCTGAAAACGCCGGCCGGCGTTCACCGGACTGATCGAGTCCTTAAGCGCTTCGAATGTTCGCCACTTGCAGATGAGCTCCTCGTTCAGTGACGCTTGTTTCATGATGTTTCGGCGCACTCGCTCCTTCTCCTCCAGCCGCTCCGCTGACATCAGCTCCTCGTTCATCGAACTCTGCTTCAACGGCACGTTGCGTTTGCGCGACTGACGGCAAGGAAAGTCCGGCAGACTGTTGATCAGGTTTTCAATGGCAGTGTCCTCGGGATCCTCCAAACCGGCTTCTTCCACGTACGACTTCTGCTTCACCAGCCGCGGTTTCGAGCCGCTCGACGATGACGAGACCGATCGTTCGTCCAGGATCAATTCGGACGTCGAGCAGAAGCCCGGAATACTGGAGCGCGAGCGCACCAAATCGAGCCGCTCGATTTCCAAGATATCACCCAGACTCTTCGACTTGATGCTCAGCGTGTCCGCAGAGTTCTTATTCGTCATCGACAGCGTGTGCGTTGTCTCCACGCGACGCAACTCGATCGGCAGCTCGTCGACGTCGGTCATGTCTTCGGGATCGTAGTGCCGTCGACTCTTGCTACTACTCTGCCAACTGCCGGGGAGCCATGCGCGACCGCCGCCTCCGCGTCTGCTCCTCGCTAATTTCTAGAGGAAAAAAATCATATAAACTTGCCAATTGTGATGATTAATTCGACAATACAATAGATTATTGCAGATGTCCGAAGAGCGATAGAAAAAGAGAAAATTGATTTTTTTATCTTTAGAAAAACAGTAACCAAGAGTAGAAATTTAATTGAATAACCTTTGACATTTAACTGTGATTTTTGCCCAATTGTTTGAGTTTAAAGTGCTTTATTTATGTAACGAGATGAGAGAATCTTTCTCTCTCTCTCTCCCTCTCGTGGTATATCTGATTACCTGTAAAGCTCGCCGGAAACAGCTATAACAGGTCTCGTTCGGGCTGGAGAGGCTGCTGGTGGATGGTGACAGGCTGAATATCGGATCGATCCAATAACTCTTGCTTTTGCATTTTCGTTGGCTATTTCTGGAAACGAGAAACCAGGTGACAGCTATGACCTATATACGATGGTTCACGGGAAATTGCAAAAACGCAAAAATCAGGAGCGAAAGCGAACAATTAACCGTGTAGCATTTATTATTTTGCGTCGGGGAAACTCACCTTTTGAAGGACGAGGGATATTTTTGAGTGACGCTGTCATCTCGCTTCTCATTACTGTCCGATACATCCGAATGCTTCGATCCATCCGACGCCGCGCTCATGCAATACGATTTTGGCCACGGTATTAAAACATCTTGCGATTCAAACTGCGAAATTGGAATATAATTCGATAAATTTAAATAACTGTGAAAAAATTGTTACTCCAAAATGCCGAAAGAGAATAATGTTTTTTTTTTCCTCACTTTTCGATGCTTTTGTTCCATAGCCCAAACGGATATAACGAGCCGACCTCCAATCCTGAGGACCCGCGCCAGTTCCTTCAACGCGTGCACCCTTCTCTCCGTGGTGGCGAAGTGGTGCACCACGGCGATCGACAGCACCGCATCGAAGCTCTCTTCTCGGAACGGTAGGGCCAGATTGTCGCAAATCAAAACCTTATCGCAAGCGGAAAGTTCCGTAAGTAGAATATCTCACCTCTATTAACGCGGTGATAATTGAATTGTCTCGCGCAACAAAAAGTACATTGATGTAAGAACGTGATTGATTCGTGTGATATACCTCGTTTTCCTTCTCGCGCGCGATGTCCGTGAAACGCTTGCATCGGTCTACCCCTATTTTAAAGATGCTATGATTGACGCTGAGATATTTTCCATTGCCGCAACCTAGATGATGCAGATATAATGTAAATGCAGACACAATATAACATTGTAGCGTATGCGGAGCGCAAACTTGGACTAACTGTGCTACCCACGCGACAAATTAGTTGTGAGAATAACGCGCCCGTCGCACAATCGATAAGATCGCTGCTTACTTGAGAAAGAAAAGACATCTCGTGTACTTTTCACACTAACCGATATCGCACACCAGGGCACCCGGTTCGAGCTCTTGAAGAAACTGATATACTCGTGGCCAGTGTTTACTTTGCGTAGTCTTCTCGGCGCATTGCTCGTATACTTCATGGACGTAGGCTTGCTCTAAGGCCACCGAGCGAGCTGCATGCTCTCCGTCGCTCTCAGACATCCCTCTCGCTAAGATGATTTATCCTCGTCCACATGTGCGCTCGCGATACTACACAGAAATTGTTATCTCTCTAAATTGTAAAGCTGAGAAAGGTGTCAGGTGTTGCAAGATTAAAAGCGCTCGAAGATTATGATTCGATCAAACAGAATCTAGCGGGATATTGAGATATTCACACACACACACACACACAGGTACGGATTTACAAAGATCTTTTAACTATAAACCACGAATATTGTAAAACTTGTCGAGTGAGTGTTAACTTTTTCTATTTTCTAGATTAGCAAAATTGAAGGACCGCCGTGTATTCTACACTCGTTTATTTGGCACTCTGTAACGCACGTCACATCTTTGCTCATAGACCGATCTCGCAAGGTGGCAGGCATCCGCAGTAGAACAGCTCCTGCAGCAGTCTGAGTATCAGCTTGTCGGGCCTTAATTTTTCCGCACTCTCCGCGGTCTTGACGCGATCCGAGCGGTACCGCAAACGGGGCACCGTATACACGCGGCACCATCGCAGGAAATCGCCGGTGTCCTCCGTGCGGATAAACGTCACGATCGCCCAGAGCGTGCAGAGGTTCCGCGATTTCTTTTTCGTGTGCAGGTAGAGTTGGCAGACATCCAGAAACGTCATGAGATTGACGACGCTCTTTTCCATGGAGAAGGACTTTCCGGAATCGACGCGAGAACGTCTTCTGACGTTCGAGGTGAACTCGATGACCGGAACACACCGGGCCGCAGCGCGTCAAAGAGAGGAGGGCTCGAAAGTCAAAAATCGCGGTCGTCAATCGAGCAGACGCCACCGCGATCTTTTAAATAGATCCTTTGGCGAACGTCATCGAGCGGAAAATCCGCCTGGCGCGAGGGCTGCTCTCCACTCGCGCCGCCGCCACCCCCGCATTGTGTGCTGTGGTAGACACCGACGGAGGCAGGTGGACCGACTTCAAAGAGCAGTGTACCCGCACCCCTCCGCTAGTCCGCAATCCCCGTTCGTCGTCGTACTCTGCGTTTCTGTCGCACGTGCGCGCGCGGGACGAGCGAACAGGCCGGATATATGTGTGCATATAGTCGTTCGCGGCCGATACGCGGCTGCGCGGTGAATTTATTCGATACCTCTTTTCGCATAACTGGGTTAGTCTCCCGGTGCACTAGTTTAACTAATTTAAGGATGCCACCAGATGCCTCGTGCCCGACGGCTAATGTCAACCGTCAACTGGACGCAAACGGACGGACAGACGGACGTAATATCGATGTACGCGCTGTTGCTTCCAAGGATGCGACGGTGCAGTGGTGACGTGCACCTCGTGCAATTATTATAAATTTTCAAAAAATTTCAAGGAGAACCTCCTTTCAAGACTGAACGGAAACTACAGAAGCATGACTTTTCAATCTTTGAGCTTTCATACGTTTATATATTAGAATGTCTTTCCTTGGATTTATAGATTTTTAAAACTTTTAAGCCTTGAAATTGTTTGATTATACGCTTAAAAATAACGCATAGAATGTACATATCTATCGCATTTCAATCAATTCGAACGACTGAATTATCGCAGTCTATTATGCGCCTGTATCGTGCATGAAGACGAAAGAGACTTGTCTATACGTCATTAATAACAACGATTTATAAATAGACGGTGAAATGCATACAGTGCTTGCATCACGAAACGTCGCCCGTCTCTTCAAGGACTAAGGACCGGCTGCGTCAGCGTTAGATTAACGGGACATCTGTTTAACTCAATTTTTTATTATTTAAATAAAAAGGAGGAACAGGATATCAGAGTGACGATACAATTGTTTGTCACTTTTTTTTAATTTAAACATTTGCCTCGCTTATCACTATTTGTAGTACGCGATTGATCGATTCGGTGCAATTAACATATATTTGATATCGCAAATGCTTAAATATTTGAAGTTAAAATTGCACGAGATTTATATAATGAATATTTATTATCGCTCGACACGCGACGTGTGCGTTTGCGACGTGACGAAACGGAGAACCACTGTGCCGCGGTTGGACTACGCACTACGTAACGAGCGAGTTGTAAGTGTAGTGGTCTCGACAGCGTGGGTGGTACGTAGAGCAACGGCAATGTGCCAACCGTGAGAGAGGCAGCCATGAATGAAAATGCCGCGTATCGATTTATCTGCACCGCCCTACATACGAAATATGATAGAGAGTGCTCCGAGCGATTTGCAGTGGCATTTTTAATCATTTCGATCCACACCTATTCACAAAGCCTTTCTCGCTGCAGTTTTAACTGATTCCGATTATGTGTTAATTAAGCGAATGAGGAAACTAATTATTAGCTCACATGTATCTGATGTATGATAATGTGATACCTATGATGAAATCAAGTCAATTATTCCAATGAGAATACAGTAGTGAAGAAAAATAGGCTTTATGAATTATAATGTCGAATAGATAATGGATAAAATTATTCATGAGAGCAAAACAGATAAGGAATAGAATATGTGAAAACACAAAATTTATATAATGCATTTCTAAACAATATTCGGTTCAAAATCCTAAAAAAAATTTAGGAACTTGATTACATGTGTAGGATCTATTAATTGAAGCTGTGATCTTGAATCTTTGAGCCTTTAATAATATTAAATAATTTGATAAAACTAATCATGAATTGAATTTTTTCAGGGATTCGACTGGTGGACTTCGCCAAAATGGAAGATGTAAAATTTCAGCAGCCGGATATAGAATTTCGCGGTCACGTGTAATCAACGCAAATAACTGCGGATTATCGACTCGGGCTGTAACACAGCACCAAACGCGTCACCGCGTTCAAAACGATTCGATATGGCGCCATTATTCATTCATGCGAGCTACCTCTACGTCAATGACTAGGATGGTTCACGCTGATTTTGACGCTTGCCAACGTGCAGATCGAAACGCTGGAATATCAAAGAGCTTGAGAAACTCTTGATGCGGAAAGACCCGGAAATTTGGAGGAATCAAATTGCATCGTACGATCAGAAGGCACCGCGCGGTTGAAGCGGTGTGAAACGCTCAGCGCACTTTATTGACCACGGCGCTACCTTATATCAGTATTGATAACAGCGTATCAAGCTTATCATATAAAACTGGCCGCATCTTCCGCAGTCCCTGAATAAGCAAAATCAATTTCTCCGTGAGAGACGATCGCCTACGCAAATCTGTTCGGGCCGGCGACGACGACGGCCGCCATGTCGCTAGTCGCGCGTCTCGCGGGGAAAACGAAGCGATGAGGATGTTGTACTTCCGTGTCGCGCTATTTCGAATGTCTTTTTATTATTAAAAAAAAAAATCTTTTTTTCTTCCAAGGCTCACCTGGGTCATGAGAGAAGCGAAATCTTCCTGCTCATGGCGAGACACGCCGTGGGGGCAAGAGGGTGCAGCAGCGCAGCGGCGACAGCGGCGGCGTCGGCGGCTGGTACTGGTGCTGGTATTGCTCGCGTGGAATCGACATCGAGCAAATATTCGCGTCTCATCGCGCCGACGAACGGGCTTCCTTCACATTGTCTCGCGCTGCCGAATCTCGCATTTCTCTTTGTTTCAGTTGTCACTCGGGATACTCGCGCGACGAAGGGGTGCGTCACGCGCACGATGGAAGCGCGTTCCGCGAGGAATCGAGCCGACCGACCGACCCTCCGACAATGGCTGTAGCTCCGCTGGAGGGTTGAAAGGGAGCACGCGCGAGGCGACGCGACGCGGGCGTCGCCGTGACGCATTAATAGCGGCACAAGAGGGAGGAATGGGCGGAAGACGGAGTGGGTGTAGAGAGATATGTTTCTCGTGCCAACTGCAGGATAGGTAGGTAAGTGGGTGTAGGTAGGTGTGCGAAAAACGTGTGGTATTTGACACTTATAGTGAATTTATAATGGTCTCCTCGATACGCTAATAATATCTTTGCGCGTCCTAGTGACGTGTTGCAAGCGTCAAAGAGGCTTCAAAAGGCGTACGTAAAAAGATATACTATAAACAAATATCTGGTTTAACATTTCTCACCAAAAACGGAAACAATTCTTTCTTGACAAAAATGTAAAATATATTTCTAAAGTTATAAGCCAATAAAAAGATTTTGATTTGTTAAATTTGAGCAGAGAAAATATTGCTTTTGTCAAATCCTTTTGTCTATCAGCAAAGACTCTGTATAAGAAACATGTGGAGGCGTCGATTAGTACCCTTGTACATACCCTTGTAATATTCTCATGCATCGTCATGACGCCTTACGAATATAAAAATCTCTGAAGAGTGAACCGCAAATGTATAAATATAGACAAACTATAATTTTAGATAAATGCGCAAATAAAGTTTATAAAATTCTTTATTTCCTATTTTGTCTTATAATATATTAATATTATTGAACATAACGCGCATATAAAAATGCCGATAGAAATTCGGTAATACTTTAGATGTACGATTATTTAATTAAATGAGTTTTGTCTAACTTTGTAAACCTGATTTAACGGCGAATACGGCGAGTAGCGAAACACGTCGTCTATGTTTAAATTGCATCGTAGTATCACTACACCCGACGGGTTCACCTTGACCTTAATCTTGGTTTGCGGCGTCAATATACCATAATCCACGTCCTCGTACAAATCCTGAAAAGTAGAACGATTACAATAAATCAAAATCTTCTCGGACACTTTAAGCCATATTTATTTCAGTACAAACCTCCACTCGATATCCCCCAGGGTACTGCAGACCTAGTTCTTTAGCGTCACTGAAACGTCCGACGGTGTGCCATCCGTACGCCGATTGACGAACGCAATCGCGTACGAATAGTAATTTGGTAAACTGGTGTGATGGGCCTCGCCCAAATTTCGATGCCTTTGTGCTGCAATTGCAAGTTGTCGATGAATCACTTTGTGAGAAATATATTACGATGATATTACTGAAGCAATTACTAATATGTGTCAGGACTAAATCTGCGTTATTAATCTTGCGTGCCAACTGACTCATAATAACTGTCGCACTAATTCTAACTATGTTCTTGAGACACTGACACATTTAACTTTGACACTCACTTTGTAGATCCGTCGACCTTGAATGCCTAGCGAATCTTGATCCACAGCGATAATCTTCTTGTTTTGAAGGATAGCTTTGTACTCTGGCCTGATTGTCCTGAGATCGACAGACATGAGCAACGGCGCTGCCAGTATAGCCCAAATCGCCATTTGCGTTTTGCTCTGCTCGTAGCTTAGTCCAAAGTTACCGATGATCAACATATCTGGGTCATTCCAATGTCCAGGACCGGCATTGGACACGATTGCATCCTGGTTGTTACCATAGTAATCGATTATACTCTCCACACTAGCCCAAGAGTCTTGAATGTCGTCAAAATTACGCCACAGGTTGCAATGTTCCGCTATTGCTGTGTAATTCGGCTGAAAAAAAAAATCAGATAAACATCAGAAATAGCCGTGAAAAAGTAGATCAGAAAAAATATATCCATACTGACCTGCATACCAGCGTAGATTTGGTAAACCGGCCAACTGCAAGAATATATCATATGCTTCCCAGTTTGATTTAAGTGGAAACCAAATTCAGGATAGCCTTTAACAAGTATCATATCATTATAATATTTATTCAACTAAGAAAAGAGAAAACTCATTAATTATTTATAAGCCATAACTGTACCTCTATCCATTTCAGCAGGATGTGAATAGCACCCATCTAATTTGACATAATCTACGTCCCAGGATGCAAATGTAGCAGCATCTATGTCCAAATAGCCCAGTATACCAGGGTAGCCGGCGCAAGTGTAGTTACCATAGTCTTCATAGATACCAAACTTTAGGCCTTTTGAATGGACCTAATAAACAAAACAATGCTTTTTCTCATCAAGTATTATGAGGTGAGAGAAAAATTTATGTAAAAGAAAATTATGAATCTGAATAAATAAATAATAAATAAAATAAACTATATATTTAATATATATGTATATAGTTCAATATTAGCACTGTTATATAAATATACAAGCTTTGAAACAGTGGATTAGTAAAGTTAAATATGTTTAGAGCAATTAACACAAAATTACATAATCTGCCAAACTCTTTATGCCATATGGAAAGCGCTCTCTATCTGGTACAAGCTGTCCACTTAAATCTCTTTCTTTTTCCAGCCAGCAGTCATCCACGTTAATGTATTCATAACCAACCGCGGCATACCCCTCAGCCACCACTATATCTGTCATGGTTCGGAAAAGACGATCACTGTGAAGCACAGAAAATCAACCACTGTAATTCCCTCTGCACTTACACTAAATACTCCATCCGTACAATGTCCAGGTTGCTGGGACTCACCTTATGCAGTTATCCGGATCATTTTTACAATCAGTGTTGCACCTAAATCTCTCCCAAGCTAACCAGCCCATCGGAGGTGTTCTGGCCAAGCCATTCTCTAATGCTGGGACCAGAACGGCCAGTGACAGGAGAACACAAAGGATCCACAGGTTGCGCAGCATTCTGCAGAAAGGGAACAAAGCTACTCTCAATCAGTGAGTTGGATATGGTGAAACTACCAGGTCGGCCGGCAGCATAGTCCGAAGACGCAAAGCGGAGCGGAATTTCCGTGACAGGACGGTCGATGGAGAGGTCATCAGGAGAGCCGTTGGGCCAGGTAAAGTGACGCGACGCGGATGCACGTAGTGACGAGGCGCGCCTACCGCACTGATCTGATATAAGAGGCAAGTTCTCTCACTCGCTCACTCGCTCGCCCGCCGCGGCCGCCGTCGCCGCGAGTACTTTCACCCAATGCCCCATTTCATTTTTACGCGCGATCACCGTCGCTGACTTGTGTTGTACCACCGCGCCTGCCTCCGCACCTCCACCGACGAACGAACGACGTCGTAGCCCAACCCGAATGCTGTTACGAGAGCATAATTACGAACCGATGCGCACTATATAACCGAGCAAAGAGGTTAGGGAGGGCTCAAGATGATAGGTTAGATTCTGTTTGGAGTATTTTGGAAAATTCAGCATTTTTTTATCATAAAGAAATCGGAGCACAAATTTTCACGTTTCTCTCGTGTTTTGATTAAGTCTTCTTTACACTGTTTGATTAATTGATCTTTATTGATTCTGTTTAATTACATAGTTTGAGTTTGTCAACTGTTTGAAAACTGTCATTCCCTTGCCGTCATATGTCATATGTTGTCATTTCCTTGATTTCATTTTCCTATTTTGTTTGTAAATTTTTTTTTGTATGTTGCGATTTGCAATCATTTATGCTTAAAAAATAATAAATTTAAATAAAAATATGCTTTAATAAGAAAGAAATAAAATTATTAAAATTATTAAAAAATATTTATAGAATATATTGATAGAAATTTTAATTTTTTAATTAAATTATAATAATTTTAGAAAACAATAATTGATAATTATTTACCTTTCAGAACACTATTTTTGGCAAAAAATTTACCACGGTTTCTATAATTTGCTTTATGATTTTCTATTTTGTGAAAGCTTCGGTTTGCTTCACGGAAAAACTACGAATACGCATTTCCGAAGCTTACTGGCTTATTTAAACGTAAATTATACGTCCTTCGCGTTTTAAATTGATACTTCAAGGTGCCTTGTTAAGTACTTATGCATACGCGTAAACTAAAGCCAAGGTTTAGAAGCCATCTGCCCAAACAATCGCGCGGTTGCACAGAAAATTAAAATTCCTTTTCCCTATGTCGATCCTGCCGAAGTTCTGATTTATACTGATTCATACGATTTGATTGACGTTCTAGGCGCGTTACTGATAAAAATGAAAGCATCCTGGCTGTGGAAGTGCAGAGACGTGGCGGCTCGTTTAAAAGAGCGAGAGGAGCTGAGTGAGATAGATATTACAAAGCAAAAGGAGGGATATGGTGGGTGGGAGAGAGCAACATCATCAACTTGCTTACAAACTGACAATCGTGCTTACGTACAGGATGCCTCAAAAGCCGTTTGGCTTCTTTCGGAGTCTTAATTAAATTTTATTTGCACGGCGTGTTGCAAGCGCAAGGTACTATCGTCTCTATCATCATTAATGTATAATCACTATTGCTACTCTCTCTCTTTTTCTTTCTAACATAGTATTAACACAATATTATTTTCATTATAACTATTATTATCTAAAAAAGACTAACATGTATCAAATTATTTCCGCATAGTGCGTGCACCATGTCGCGTCGCAAGACGAGAAAGTAGCCGAATAGATGTGAACCGGTTCGCGATCTTTCTTACTCGTCATTCTGCGCCACGCAAAGGAAAGAGAAGAGGGAGGAAGTAAAGAGAGAAAAAAGAGAATGTGTCGATACCTTAAGAAAAAGAAGGGCAACGGCAGCGGCGGTTGACGTTCACATTGAGACAAGAAAAAAACATCGCAGCATTCTTTTATTTATGCAACCATCTCTCCGCCGCAAGGAAATCTCACCCAATAAATCGATCGATTCTATCTCACATGCACTTGACCGTTGAACATTGAAGGTATGTTATCAGAGTAAGATTTGAGAGTTATAGCTGCAACACTAAATCGCACATTCTCTAATAATTCTAAAAAAAACAACATTGAGAAACGTAAATTACGCTTTGCTGATCGTTTGAGAACTATGCTGAGAATTGTTGCGCGTTCGAGTACATTAGTACTGGCGAAAGGATGAAAGATACCGGAGGTAATTACAGAATAATTAATTTCTTATACGTTCTTTGATTTTCTGGGACACCACAAGAAATTGTCATGTAACTTTTCCGTAAAGTGTTGAATGAAATATGCCAAATCTCATAATTTGAAACAATATTGTGTAAAATAAATTCTGGAGTTTCTAGATTTTTAGATCCATAAAAACAATCTTGCTAGCTTGATAATATCAATACTCGCATCTGTTTGCTGATAAGTCGTGATATTGATGTATGTAATAATACATAAGAGTGCTTGTTTTTATTTTTCGTATCTGAGACAATCGTAATGAAAAGAGATTGGTTGCATAATAAACACTTTTTATATTCAAACGCCATATATCTTATCAATCGTGAGATAGAGTTTACATTGCGTGTAAATAATCGTAGAAAATCTTTTTAAAAATATGCGGACACCTGTCTCCCTCGCATTTCTTAGCGAAGAGAGACATGAAAGAGCGCAGCTTCTCGCCTTCTAATTTCCCCTTTCTCCCTTCGTCCCGGAATGGAGAGTCTGATTTCTTACACGCTCGCGTCTCTCTGCCAGACTAATTCTGCTCTCTACCTCAAAGGAAAGGGAAATTAAAAAAAAGAAAGAAAGAAAGGAAGAAAAACCCACTGACCGTAATGACACCGAATTAGCTCCGCGTCCTAATCGCGCTGGGTCGAGGTCGACGAAATAATTCCATCGGTTTGCATTCTAAACTCTATCGTAACCCTGGCATGATCTACATCCACGCTCCATTCGTCCCGAGGAATTGGCGACCAGTATCACGCTACAGCATCGCGCGTGCAATTTGCATTCGGTACCGCTTCTACCGTTTTATTTGTACCGTTTCCAAAGGAGAAATCAAACGGCAAAGTTTAGATAGCGGAAAATCGACGGTAAAGAAGATTTGAGATTTCCCGGTCAAAAAATACTTGGGTCTCGTTAGAAATTTTTCAGAGATTCTGTGCAAATTTTTAACGATGTGTTTTTAGGTAGTTATTTCTTTCACAGAGAAACTTGGCGCGTCTTTTAATCGCATACAATAGAAACTGTATCTAGCGAATTAAACGGTGCACGTGAGCGTGCGGCTAATTGACTCCTCGCAACCAGTGTTAAACGATTAATTATTTTCATACGCAATCAATTTTCTTACGTATAGCAATTTCAAGAAGATAACATACCTTTTTCCACCATGTGTCGCGCGGGAGTGTTATTTTATTGTTGTGCGCGCCGTGATATATGCGCCTTTTATAAGCAACTGATAAATATGTCTATTCTATAAATGTCCTTCTATAAATAAAAGCGAGCGTTTATGTGTTGTTGGACAGTTTTGATTGCACATAATCGTGTTTTTTTCCCCCGTGTTATCGCGGACATTGTCTATTCGATAGCCGTATCTTTGCTGATAAAGTTTACACTATTGTGTTTCTTTCTAATAACGCAAATTTGACTTGGGCGTGACTGTTCCGATCTGAAAGTACGCAAAGCACGTTTGCGGACATTTTGGACGAGAGAAGTAACATTAAAACACACATTTTTCATCTATCAATAGAACGAATCCCACGCGCGATATACTCCGTATAACTTGGCATAGTTTCAATTTGTTGCACGCAATTTGCATCGCATCACAACGCGTTTTATTTTCGACGTCTCCAGTGTGAAGCGCGATGTCACTTTCATGTCCTTAAATGGCGATTGCTGAAGAATGGAAAGAATGAAGGAGAGTAACTCAATAACAATTTCGCCGTTCTACATATTAATTTCTAAACAAATCATTTTGGATGGATAGAACAAACTTTATTTAGATCTGTCAGATGTGTAACAATTATTTGGTTTCGAAATGCGCATCTGTCATTCACATTAAATAATAATTGTATTACTTCGAAACGCGCAACTGTCGTCAACACAGTACATTTTTCGAGACTAAAATCCCGAGACGTGTGGAAAGATAAGAAAGTTAAGATCAAACAAATAACGTGATGGTATCACGCTTAATTATAAAAACCAATTTATCATTGTCAATACGATCATTAATTCAATTGACAAAGATACTTTTTAATTAATTATAAAAAGATTAGAATTTATTATGATGATATATCTGCTATCGATGACTATCTCTTTCAGAAATAAAATGAAGGAGCGAATCAATAAATAGCAGCTATTTATCGTTTAATTACAAAAGTAAAATAAAATATATATATATATATATATGTATTTGTACATGTACATATAAAAGTACGTGATTTTTAGCTCTAAAAAGTGGAAGGGAAGAATGGAAGCAGCTGCTGGACTGAAAACGTAATTTACTTTCCAAGGAGGATTTTGCGGGTTGCGCCGAGACTCTGGCCAGCTTGAGTTGCACCTTTGTTGGAACCTGCTTGAAGACCGATCACTGATTCACCAGCCCGCAATTGTTCCTCTGTAAAATCACGTTTGCATTCCTCTGATGGTTTGGGTCCCAGATAAGGTCCTTTCCATTCTGGATGCTTGTACGTCTAAATAAACAGAAGGAGGGTCATATGACGTAACTATAAAAATAATAATTAGTTAAAATGCTCATTTAAATTATTTATAATAGAAAATGGTCGCACAATTATTCGAAAGATTGGGAAACGCATATAATTAAACGTACCGTTCGGCCGAGCGCGAACAACGTCGTTACTACTTGCGCGATGTCCTTTTTCTCCCACAAGTCTACCGTTTGGAAAACGTCGACATCGTCCACTCCATAGTCCTTTAGAGCCTTTTGAAACCTGTAACGTGCTCGGATTATAGTCATCGTGTAGTTTGCGATCGATGGAAAACGAAATCGCCAACAGCTACTCACAGATTAATATTCTCCATCATTTTGAACTGTCCACCACTAGAGTTGATCTTCGGTACCGATCCGGGGGAGACTTTGTTCATCAGATGGCAAAGGACCTGGCCGTCCTTGAGCACCTCCTCGAAGGTCTCACCAGGAGGAAACTTTTTGCCAAGAATCGATTCGATCCATTCCTGCGCCTCTTTCTCCTGCTCCGGATTGCGTTTCGATGCAATCTGCGAAGAAATTCGCAAATCGTTAAAGTTCCAGTAACTTTATGGATCAAAATTAAAAGTAGGAAAATTTGTGGCCCTCGTATCTTCAGAGAATCAATCCTACGATTCTCAAAACATTCGAAAGTGTCACTTCTTTTTCAGACATTAAATGATCGGTTGCTTTTTGCGATCGCGAGAAAAATGCATAAGGCTGGAACTGCATAACGCGTGTGACCATAAACGGATCGGAAGAAAATTGTATCACACACCGAAATATATATACCTTAGCGCGCACTTGACGTTCTAGAGCCATCCTTATGATATTTTTGAAAAGACTGAAGTACCGCGGCTTCTAGCCGCGGCTTTTTATATGTTCGTGAGGACCACGCAACCACCGTGGCCAAGTCGGGGGAGAAATCCATCCAACAACGTGAGAGGGTTGTATATAGGGTGTCTGAAGATGCACTCCGAGGATGTGACGTCTGTCCAGGCGGTTCCGATAGTTTTTCATTCTTATATCCATGAATTTTGATCCATACGTTGTCAAAGCTTTCTCGACATCTCGCTCTCTTCTACATTTCCTCATTTATTAATAAACAGAATGTCGGAAATTTTTTTTCCCTCCGTGTTACATATCGTTGTTGAGACACCTTGTATAAGCGACGAGAGCGTGCGTGATTCTACACGTTTCGGGATTCTAATATTAGCGGCTTATTCAGTTAAACGAGAAATAGGTTTTCCGTAATCGCAGAGACGCAGCAGCTGTGAAAATTGGATAGCTCAGTAATGATTATAGCATCTGGTAAATAAGCCGAAACAAGATTTGCGTGAGCGTCCTTACTGTCGAGTTGGCTATCTCTTATTATAGCAAATGAATATAGAGGAGCGACAATTAATAATCTTACATTGCCTGAGAACTGCGCATTTTGGAAATATTTATTTAATTCATACAATAATAACAAGTACAACAATAACAATTTGAAAATAGCTTTAAATTTTCTTTTCTTTTGCGATCCTGATCTGACATAAAATGCATTGTTACACGCATCTTTTAAATTTAAATCAAAAGGTACTGTACAAAAAAATAAATTCTTTTCATTACATATGTCACTGTGAACACAGAGTCGGCTTTAAATGATTTGAATAGAAATGTCAGATAAAGGACCGTCTGATTCATTCAAACAAAACGACTCACGCTGCTTCAGTTCGATTATAGTGTGTATTCAAACGCATGACGTATTGGGCGTAGGTAATGTTGAGGTTCTGACTCAGAAGGAAAAATGGAAAAAAGAACGGCCGCCCTCGTGGAAAGTGGAACGTGCCACTTTTAAATAGTTCTCTGTCATATGGCTCGGGTTATTATTGCGCGATCCAGATTTCGCGCAAGATTCTGCCTCGTACGAGCGTGAGATAGAAGACAGGAGGAGAAGAAATTGTAGACATTCAAGGACGCGGAGATTTATCACTGATATACTAATCACGGAAAGAATTTGAAAATTTAAAACAAAATAAAAGTTCGCTAAAATAATTCTTTTACACATAGACTGAAAAGGCAGGAGTTGCCATAAATGAAAGAAAAATTATACAAGTGAAAATTGTATTGTCAAATCTGTAGCAAAGAATAATGAAATGTTCCAACTGCAATGGCACCGATATTTGCACGGCTCCACCACGTTGCGTAATTTGAATTTTGAGTGTCGATTCGAAGAGGATCATTTATTAGCTGGAGATGGCGAACCGGTGAATCACGTTTAAATATAAAGTTCTACGCGCTTCCACTAGCTACAATCTCGTCTCCTCCATGTCGAAGGAGCGTAGGCGTTTTTTCGAGAACGCGATGATTTTCACTCTGTATTTACAATGTTACTCTAAATATGGCCACCTCTTCGTTTCATGTCAATCTTAAGTTTACGTTAAACATATAGGGCTTCTCACTAGTATTCACACGAGATTTTTCGGTGATTTTTTCATAAATTCTATCAATTCCTTGCTTGGGATAAGTACGTAATACTTATAGGGTCAGATTTGAAAAATTTCCTTCCCGCCTCTTGCTGTAACAGAAGAAATGAAAAGGTTTATAAAATGAAAGGTTAAATAAGATTGTATATTAAAAACTTATACATTTTCGCGTTCTCAATAGCATTGATAATTCACTAGAATAGATCCTGTACGATTTTATATTTGACAAAAAGATCGAAAATTAATTTGTACAGTAAATCATCACACTTACATGGCTTTGATCTTTTTCGGATTTTTTAATAATTTTAGGATTAAATTGGACCTCGGTTTTTTTGCTTAACATTCTTCTAAGTCTTCGTAAAAATGAGTTCTTTTTCGATTTCTCTGACACTTCTTTCAACTTTTCTTGAAGATTTTTGTTGTACTCACTATTCTTATGACTGTTGTCTTTCTGTAGCATTAACTGCAATTGTAAATTTCCTAATTTCGATAATAATTGCTGGTTTTCCTGAAATAAACATTAGAGATTACAGATTAATTAAAAACAAGGAACAAATAAAAAAATTAAAAAAAATTCTAAAGTATTTTTTTAATACTTTGATAAGTATTTCTTTTTCTTCAGTATGTGCACTTTTTAATTCATTTTTCCGTGAATAAAATTCGCGCTTAGTGTCTTCTATTTGGTCTCGCAATTTATTTTGCTCCATTAATGCTTCTTGCATTCTGAAAAAATTATTTCATTGATATTATCATCATACAATTTATTGCATTTGATGCACGATTACTTACTCTTCTTCTTGAAGTAGCAATTTGCTTTCCAATTCAATGGCCAATTTCGCGATATTGGATTTTTCTTTCTCGATAGCTTGTAATCGCGATTGTAAACTTTCATATTCTGATAGCAACTGCTACTGTTCCTGAGTTAACAAAATCATGAACCAAAATAAAATTAATATATGAGGAATTATAAGATTTTTATCGGAAAATGCCGGAGATAAATCTTGACAAGCGTGAGTTTTTCAGCTTGGCTATTCGTCAATTCATTCTTTTGCAATTTCAGTTCGTATTCAGAGTTCTCTAATTGTTTTCGCAATTTATTTTGCTCCGTCAGTGCTTCTTGTATTCTAAAAAATATATATATAATATTATTATCGAGTACGATTTATTACGTGCAATACACGATGACTTACTTCTTTTCTTCTAGACGCAATTTAATTTGCAGTTGTTCGACTGATATTGCAGTATCACATTTTTCTTTCCTGATCGCAGGAAGCATTGCTATTCGCCAATTCATTCTTTTGCAACTGCAATTTGTGCTCGAAATTCTCCAGTTGTTTTCACAATTTTCCTGCTCTGGTATTGCTTTTGTAATCTAAATTAAAAAATAATTTTAATAATATTTATTTATGTGGGAAATTATTGATAGTTTATGAAAAATACCTTTTTCTTGAAGTAGTGATTTATTTTCTACTTGCGCAACATGATTCTCCAGATCTGCAGATTACGAAATTAATTGTTATAGATATAGGTTTGAGATTCGAACTACTTTAAACTAGATCTCGTCTTTCTACTTCGTCTCACTCAATTGAAGCTGCCGAATGGTTTCCTGCTGCTTCTGAATCACGTCGTTACACAAAGTGGACAAAGCACGTTGTTGGAAACTGATGAGGTTCTCACTGATGTAATTTAAGTATTCCGTGATGATCTCGACGGATTCCCATGTGGTATTTAATCTGCGGTGTCAAAAGCAAAATCAAATATACAAAAGACATACATAATGGAAAAAAATATTACTTTATTTGAATCTCCTTATCGCGCGTTTCTTTTTCCAAGAAGGCAGACAAGGAGGCCTCCACTTGCTGACTCTCTTTCAGCTTCCTTTTCAGATCTTGGATGACGCGTCTGATCCTGCTGGATACGCTGCATACTTTCTAGCTTGTTACTTTCAGTGTTCGAACAGGCCACCTGCTATTTTTGCGAGTGTTTATAAAAGATCGATTTAAATTAAAAAAAAACAAAATTAAATTTGTACCTCTTCTGCTTGATTCAATGGAATATTATTTTCTGTTCGCTTCATCCATTGTCATATTAACATATCGATAAACTTGCCGCTATTTTGACGACTTTCTTTGGAAACTGCAAATTTTTCGAAGATTATAACACAGTTGAAAATAAAACACGAAACTTATCTTCTTCATGTTTAATATTGTTTTAATATCAGTATTACACAAGCTATTACGCACGATTATCATCGATTTATATTTTCTAATTGCTTGAAGTTAGGTAGAGTAAATGAATATTTCAAGTCAAACTTCCTGCTAATACTTTTTTCACTACTATGAGTAGCATGTATCTGTTATGATTATAGAATTTTCATCGTACGTAAGATATTTCGCAAAAATTTTTAGTTTAGTTAAGATAAAATAATTGTGAAATGCATGGAAATTATATTATTTTTTAAGACTAAACATATATTTATATCGTTTATATTTAAAGTGACATTCTGCTTTATCATATTTGCCGCCCGAGCATACTGCTCTCTCTATTGGTCCATTTTGCAAATATTCTGTATTGCTTTGCATCCTTTGCATCAACCGCGAGAAATAACAATAATCGTTTAGGTTATATAGGTTTACTACATATAGTGTTTAATCTGTGAGAAGTTTCGAAAATTTTATTTTTTGTATATTTTATCTCAGATTTAAAGATTTGTTAGTGATCTGAAGTGAAATCTGTCAAAAAACGCGAATCATGTCAGGGTTATTTGAGCAAATCAAACTGCTTTACGATCAGGCACTGTACTCCAATGTGATCTCCCTGACAAATTTAGTGCTTACTCTCAGCGAGCATAATACTGATCTGTTACCTGGTTACAGCAAGTTTCATGTATATATCTATTACGCGGATGCTCATTTTCATTTGAGCAAGTATCGCAGGGCAGAGACTCTGTACAAGAAGGCTCTGCAATTCCGCAAGTGTTTGTTGAAGTCTAAGGGCACGGGAAAGCCTTTATTGGATGGACAAAAGGATTTGCCGTCAGATGTCAACATCAAATACCAAATTCACTTGTGTCTGGTGAAATCGAAAAATCTACAGGAAGCATTACAAGTATTGCAGAGCATTCCTGGCAAGCAGCGTACTGCCAAAGTAAACATGGCACTGGCTAAGATGTTCCATGAGCAGGGAATGGAGCGATCGGCCATTACTACATATAAGGAAGTCCTGAGAGAATGTCCATTGGCCTTGGAAGCAGCTGAAGGCCTTTTGTCTTTAGGGGTAAAAGGTGTAGAAGTCAACTCCTTGATTGTCAGTTCTCTTTCCGGTTCGATGAACTTGGAATGGCTTAATACATGGATCAAGGCCCATGCTCACATTCACAACAGGGAATATACTCATGCTGTAACTGCTTTGAGATCACTGGACAATGTTGTTCTACTTAGAGACAATTTTAACCTAATGACTATTATGGGTGAATGTTATTATTATGCTGGTGATGATAAGAATGCTTTGATGTGTCTGAGACGAGCTCGTGTTATTGAACCAGATATAACAAAAGGGTAGATATGTGAATGTTGAAAAATTGATCAGGAAATATATCTCTCGTTGATTATCTCATTTGGTACTTCTTTGCAGGGTAGACGTGTACGCTGCAGTTCTTTACAAGATGCACCACATCAAAGAACTAGAGCGGCTAATACCGGCAATAACCGCAAACAACGAATCTACCGGCGAGATTTATGTGGCTATGGCCTATTCCATGTATGCTGCTAAAAAGTGGAATAGGGCAAATAATCTCACCGCTCAAGCGTTGAACATGAATCCCAGTGACATAGAGGCCATCATATTGCGTGGCAACATTCTCATTGAACAGAAGAAATATCAAGATGCATTATTTTTCTTTAGACATGCGGTGCAATTGAAACCATATAGATATGAGCCGCATAAAGGCTTAGTAGATTGTCTCGTCGGGATGCATAGACTGCGAGAAGCTCTAAATATTGCCAGCAGTTCTTGCAAACAACTTGGGCATACTGCAAGAGTTCTAACGGTGAGTTAAAGTACTGAAAAACAGTACGAGATAACAAATCTCATATTTGTATTTGTATTTTGTAGTTGTACGCATCTGTTTTAATGAAAGATCCTGTATCAGTAAGTAAGGCCAAAAACCTTCTTGAAAAGGCACTGTCCCAAGATGAAGTTTACTTAGCTGCAGTATACTTGCTTGCGGAAATATACGAACAAGAAATGAATTTGGAAGCAGCCATTGAACTGTTGGAGAGACAGGTGGAAATTCATTCTACCTCCAAGCTTCATCAGATATTGGGAGACCTGTGGGCAAGGGTGCACAACGACGAGAAAGCTTTAGATCATTATGCCATAGCCTTAAAGTATATTTTTTATTTTTACAATTATTTATCTACATTATGTATTCAGACTACATCTTAACTCATTTATCCTGTTTTCAGCTTGGATCCGAGCAACAGGAAAGCTCTGGAAGGAATGCACAGATTAGACAATTCCTCCAGTAAATTAGATTCCGCTTATTACATGACCGTAGGAGAGGAACAGGCCGACACAACTTATGATGTCGGAGATGGATTACCAGATACGGATAATGAAGAAGCACCTGAGGAGAGCGAGACTGAAGCTATTTGGTCAGATATGGACTTGGAAGCCAACAGCCAGTAGTATTATTTATATATTATTTTATAGAAACAATACCCAGTGATAATTTTGATTAAACTTTCGATTTTTTAAATAATTTTCAATTTACATGTGCGTATATACACACATGTGCTCACACATACACCAAATCACTTTTATGAAGAAAGATTTTTTTTACAGAATTATGCGTAAAATGAAATTAATTGTGATGAATGTTATCGATGTTAGGTAAATTAATGAAATTAAGATGTATAAATTTTTTTTATTTATGAAAAATAATAAATTTGTTTCTATTGTGTTATATAGAATTTATTGCTAAGATAAATTTCCCTTTTGAATATTCCCGCCAATGGAATATATACTCTATTCGTGCTAATGCTAATGAATTAATTCACTAGAACATCCATAATCTTAATGGTCGACATCTAGTGACATTTTCAATGAACTTGGTCTCAGCTACAGTATGCTCAAGTATGCTACAGTAGTTTACAGTTTATCGAAGATGGCTGACGAAGGTAAGAAAATTTCTTTTGGTTTTGCAAAATCCATTAAAAAACCAACATTGGTTAAGCAAATACCGCAAGAGGAGAAAAAGGTGGATTACATTGAATGTCTCGATGAAAAAGCAATTAAAGTAATCGGGTAAGTCAAAAGTATTGTTACAGAAGTTATAATATCAACTTAACCTAAATTTACAAGTTTTTAGTTTTAGTTAAAATTTTTAGTTTTATAATTGATAATTTTTTTTAAATTTTATCTTGTGATACTTATTTTTGTAATTAGAAATAATTACATTGTTTAGATAATTTGTTTTATTATAAGTCATATGAAAGTATGAAGTGTTTGTTTTGCTTAAGATTTTAAAATATTATTTTTAATAAAATGGATAAAAATTGAACATAATTATAATTTATGTAAGCATGAATAATATAATGTTATAAGTGTTTTGTGAACAAGAATTATTAGTTCAGGAGTAAAGTTATAATTATTATTATTCTACAATAATATTGTAAATTTTCCTTTGTTTAGGGTTGAAGAAAAGAAAGAGGAACATCTCATTATTCCATTATTGGGATCTAAGACTTGGCATGATAGAATTGTAAATAAAATAGATGCTGATATCTTTGAATCAAAAGCAAGTAAAAACGATACGCAGACTGTCACAATCAAGGAGGAACCAAAAGAAATATCTAATGGAGATTTGACATTAGTTAATAACTCTGTTTCTAATACACAAATAAAATCAGAACCACTGGATGAAAGTGAAAGTAAAACTCTTACATTAGAAGAACAGGCAGCTAAAGAAATTATAGAAGATCTCAAATCTACAGAGAAAAAAGATGACAAATTAAGCAATTTAACTTTGCCCTTGGCAGAAGAACAAAATTTAAGAGGTGTGGCAGAAGTAAGTATTTTTATGGTAAAGACATTTATAAGACATCATTGATATTTAATATAGTCTTTTTCTATATAGAGTACATTAGATGATTATGAAAAGATTCCAGTAGATGCCTTTGGCTTAGCTATGTTACGAGGAATGGGATGGAAACCTGGCAAAGGGATTGGTAAAAATGAAAAGTATGATCTTTATCTTATATGAAATCAGTGCTGTATGTGTTACATTTTTTTATTGAAGCATGTATTTTTTAATATGTTTTCAGTTATTTTTTATACACTTTTTATTTACTATCTTTACAGAATTGTAGAAACTGTTGTACCTGAATTACGACCAGCAGGAATGGGGCTTGGTGCAGATAAAATAGCATTGCAAAAACAAAATGGAAAAGTTAAGGAGGAAGAAGAATTACGAATGGAAAAAGGAAGTTTTATAAAAATCATCGCTGGCAAGCAATCCAATACTTATGGCCAAATAGAAGGCTTTGACCAAGATGCGGGAAGATTAATTGTAAAATGGCCCTGAATGGAAATACCATCTCTGTGAATGAATGCTTAATTCAAATAGTAACAAAGGCAGAATATATGAAAAATTCCAAAGTTCTAAGTTCGTAAATAAACTAATTTTTTATTTCTCGGGGACTTTTGAATGTCATATTTTATATATAATTTTAAGTGCTACAGTCTGTTTTAACCTTGATCTTTTATTAATCACAATTTAACACTTATTGTGACTGTTGTTTCGTTACATTATTGTTTTTTTTTATTTTTTCTATTTATACTTTTTCTATTATACCTATATTTGTATTACTATATATATATTTATAATTTTGATATATTTTTCAGATAAAATTTATAAATGTGTAAAAATATATATTTTTTTAATATATCTGTAATGTGTACACATCTTTCTTTCTCTCTTACTTATACATTTATTTATATTTCTGACACTTTAAAAGTCCCTGTATAATTTATTGATTTGTACAAAATGATTGAAATTTTGGTCTTCAGTATTTAAAACTGATTTTAGATGCCGCTAAGTATGAAGAATATAAAAACAAGGAGAGTGGAAGTAAAAGAAGATCTACATCATTGGAATCTTCTAGTAGCAGTGATAACAGTAATTCTGATATATCTGATAGGAAAAGAAGAAATAAAGAAGATGACAATGGACATAAGTCGAAGAAATCAAGAAAAAAATCAAAAGACCGACGAAGAAGATCGTCTGACAGTGACAGTGACAATAAGAAAAGAAGTAAAAAACGAAGACGTTCCAGTAGTAGTGATACGGAAAAAAGGACAAAAAAATCGAAGAAACACAAAGAAAAAGATAAAGAACGAAGACGACAAAAGGAAAAAACATCTAAGTATTCTGAATCTTTGGACAGGAGAAAATCTAAGAAATCCAAGAGATCATCCAGTAGACGATAACATATGTAAATCGCGATGTTTTATGTTATACACTTTTACTACTATACTTTCTTTTAATAAAACTTATTTTTTTCATATGGCATAATTTTTTCGGATATATTTCTAGAAATGGAATTCTCTAAAACTTAGTATACAAGGTGATTCAGAACAATCTACTGTCCTTGCAATGCCATATTTTTGGGCGAATTCTGAGACGATTTTTCCTTTTACAAAATTTTGTCCGAAGCAATTTTCGAGTTGTAATTGAAAATAGTTTGCTACTTACGAATTCGATACAACTGGCAGGCAGGGACGATCAATGCGTCATGAGACGATAGTAAACGCTTCTCATTATACGTTGCGCGTCCCTGCCTGCCCGTTGTACCGGACTCGTAAGTTGCTACCTATTTTTAATTATAACTTGAAAACTAAGCTTCGGACAAAATTTTGTAAAAGAAAAAATTATCTTAGAATTTACTCAAGAATTTGACATTTCAAAGACAGTAGATTGTTTTGAATCACCCTGCATATAAAGATTAATTTTATTAATATGTAAGCAATGAGTAAAGAAATTCTTTTTCAATTAATAACCTAATTATGCATTCAAGAGAAACTACAACAAAAGATTCTAATTGGAACAATTTTATTTCTCAAGCACTTTTGTGAGTAATATACATAAATATCTTTCTTGAGATAATAATTTTAAAGTAATCCTCGAATATTATAAAATTACATCGAGTTCTCTTTCTCTCTCTCTCTCTCTGTATGCAAGTGCACAACATAAATTAATCACGATATGAGGAAAATCCTGTTTCTCTAGAATATAGATAATATACTTTCTTACGTCAAAATAACCAGTAGGAAACTTAACCTGAATGTCATGCTGCGTGCGGGCGTTGTACAACACGGTATAAGAACAATGTCGAGTAAGTGTAAGATCATTTATTTTTTTTTACAATATATACAATATTTTTTACAATTTTTTACATATAAAATTTGAGATTGTGAGTCTTTCAATGCATATAGTAACAATGAAAAAAAGGAAGAAATAAAGAACATTTATTGTGCTGAACGCTGCTACCAAGTGTTTTCTGAACGGATGATTGTGCAGAGATCAACATTAAACAGAATAGCATTAATAATCACGATGAATTAATGTTAAATAATTATCAAAAATTATATGAAAATTACAAATTATTTTATATGCGATAGAGAAAAAAAAACACCAGTTCTGCCGAACGAACCGTGGCCAAACTCGTAATAATTTTTTTATGGTTTCTCACTGTGTTTCAATTTATAGTGTTTTTTGACAAACTCGTGATTGTATTTTCAGCACTGCGTTTGGCGTTGGTACAACTGGCTGTCGGTGACGACAAAGTGGCGAACATTTCGAGAGCCGTTTCTTTCATCGAACGCGCAAAACAACAGGAACGAGCCGATATCGTGACACTTCCTGAATGTTTCAATTCGCCTTATGGAACATGTAACGATCCTCTCTCTCTACCAAATCTTTCTTATACAAAATTTTTATACAATCTACAATATTATTACTAGAGATTCTTTCGAATAATATAACTTTACGCTTGTATACCGATATTTTCGTATCTTTGAAAAGAACTTGACTTTCATTTAGATATCTCATTTTATTTAGAAAAAGAAAAAGAAAACAGTCTTTCGTTTATTATACGACACACAGATGCGTATATATTGCATATTCAATGTATCAAAATTGTCGCATTTAGCCTCAATGTTCGTAAATTTTTTTATGCGCGACATATGTGCACACGCGCATAAAACTTTACATTATGGACGAACAAGTTGAATATAAATTGTCGAAAAGAATGAAAATCGTGTTATACTTTTCATGTATAGATATAGTTTTTATACATAACGTCTCATTGATGTGAAACACAGCTCACTTTGCGAAATATGCCGAGAGCATCCCCGACGGCGAGACAAGCGTGGCATTGTCCGAGGCAGCGAGAAAAAACAATATTTACGTGATCGGTGGTACGATACCGGAAAGAGAGAATGACAAGTTATACAATACCTGCACTATATGGGCGCCCGATGGAAAGCTTGTGACCAAGCATAGAAAGGTAAAGATTAGTATTTTATATGCAGAATGTTCTCCTCACATAAAAGCACTGGATCTTAACATGTAAAATATATATATATATATATGGATCTTACATTTTTTATTCTATCTATAAAAAATTGAATTTATTGAAATATTTTGTTATTTTATAATTATTTTATAATTTTTATGTTACGAATATTTTTAAGTATTAATTTTAAGGTTTTGTTTATAGATGCATTTGTTCGATATCGATATTAAGGGAAAAATGACTTTTCGCGAGAGCGACTCGCTGTCGGCTGGCAATTCTCTCACTATTTTTGAAGCGAAAGGTTGCAAAATCGGCATCGGCATTTGCTATGATATCCGGTTCGAGGAAATGGCACGACTGTATAGAAATAAAGGTGAACACTTGCATATATTATGTTAAAATCTTCAACTCGATATCATTGTGAAAAAGTGGAGCAGAATTTAATGCATTACCATTATTAACATTACACTTATTTGAATTATCCCAGGTAGCCAGTATGCTAATATTTTGCTTATTAATAAATATAATCTATATTTTTCTTATTATTATTTTAACAAAGAAAGAGATCGAGTAAAATTTTAGTCATAATGAATCATTAATGAATCAATATGCAATTAATAAAACAACGATTGCAATATAATAATTTATACAAATTGCTGATTTGTAAGAAAAGTTACTGCAAAACTGTCATTTTTAATTTTATTCTGTAATATCAGGTTGTCAAATGTTGATATATCCGGCGGCATTCAACATGACCACTGGCCCGCTACATTGGTCGTTGCTACAGCGTGCCAGAGCAAACGACAATCAATTATACGTAGCCTGCATATCACCGGCACGTGGCCCACCATCTGGGTACGTTGCTTGGGGGCATACCCAGTTAACCAATCCTTGGGGAGAAATACTTTGTGAACTGGATGCTGGCGAGGACATGGTCGTCTCGGATATAGGTAATTAGTTTTACGAAGATTAACGACCAAGTAGTATCGAAGAATATTTCAAGACTGACTTAAAATGTTTTTTAATTGTAATTTATAACCGTTCTGTATTTGAGTATATAAAATCTTTTTCTGTTTCTTTAAAACATAAAATAGAATAAAGTCTATTATCATAATTTCAAAGATATGGATATAAAAAAAGCTATCGAAAGCAATGATTGCGTCAAATGTAGCTACGTATATCTCAGACGATACAAAAATGAATCCGAACGACACGTATCTTTAAATAACATTGAAAAAATGCCTGAAGGGATATGACGTTCTTTTAAATGTCTTCGAGATGTTTTTTAGAAATATGTGTTGTCTCTAGTAATGCGTGTAATTGTACGAATTACTCACGTAATATTATTTTAACATGACACATGACATTATTACAGATTTGAAAGTTGTGGAAGAGGTCAGGGCGCAAATTCCGACATTCCATCAACGTCGCATAGATCTATACGACACTATTTGGAAAAAGGAAGATTGAGAAGACGTTAGGCACGGTTCATGGAGCATTAAGCAATTTCGCACGGCGATGAACCATGAGTAAGTAATTTCTCCCTAAATTTCACACTCCGATACCTCGTCGATAAATTTCCCGTATCTACGTCACACATGCTGCGGAGATATACGCGACGCGCGTATATCGTAAATGTAATCACTTGCGGGATTTCTGATAAATAAACTTTATGGTTATTTGTGCTATTTTTTGATATGAATTCTTAAGTTTATTTCATCGTTGTGCTTTACCTATTAAAAAACAAGAGAGAGGAATCAAAGGAAGATTAAAATTAGGGCATTTGGATTAGTCTTTGAATATTACTTGGAATAAAATTTATTATAACCTCGTAATATGGATCCCGAATGATCGTTCATACATAAAAGGCCCCTTGATCATTACATGACATTGTTACGATCGAAAGTAATTGTGTATTGTAGTATTAAAGCTACCGTTATTAAAGCTATCGCTTACATGGAAATATCTTTCCTTTTTTTTTTACTTTTGTAAATATTAATTTAAAATATAAGCTTAGAGAAATTGGTCGATTAATAATTCTCTTTGTTGGATTGGGATGGATGAAGAAGAAGAAGAGAGCAAAGTACAGATGGCAAGGCATAAAAGAAAAACGCAGTTGCGCGCTTTCCGCCAGCCAAGAAAAATATCACTGTCCCGTGTAATGGGATTGTTAGAATTACCAAATAAATTCACTCTGAGAATCGTTGTGATTTAAGATTTATACCTGGCTCGGATGCGACGAAATTTAGGCGAAGTACGAAAATCCTTTTTTTATTTTTTTTGAGTGAAAATATATAACATATGACATAAATGTGTTTTAATATTTAATATAATCTAAACTAATAAACATTTAAATTACTTTTTAAATTTATATTTAATGAAAATATTTAATCTGTCGGAAAAAATCGAGATTACATCGAAAACCAGATCATATCCGGGCCAGATATTGCGCGTACTGAACGAGTGTGTCATACACTTAAGCTGTACAAATTTAATCTTGGACATCTTTTTTTATCACGCTCGCTTTGACAGTTTCGGGGACGCCGCTTGTCGAGTTCCGCGTCAATATTTACGCAAAATCCGTACAACACGTTTTATTTCAAATAAAATACAAATGCAAATCAGCCAGATATGAATCGATGTGTCCTCGCTGATGACACATTCTTTGCAATTTTGTCTATTTACTCCAATATTTTTGATTAGTCCATCGGCGAATCCAAGCATTTTTTTTGACGGAAATACAAACTCTCGTGTCAATTCTCATAATCTAACTCATACATAGTGTGACTGAAAAGACTGAATCAATAAACATAAAAAATTTATAATATGATTTTGTTGCTCTTAATGTTCTATAATTCCGACGACGTTCAACAACACTCGACGGTAAAGTGCCTGGAAAGTGTTTTAAAAATCTTTGTTTGATATTCACTTAAATTCGTTGGTTAAGTCTTTTTTTAAATATTCTCAACGCCCTCAAATCGTTCTTTTTCTAAACACAATTTAATTTCAAGGGCCAAAAAATAATCGACCCTTCACCAGATTTGGCTTCGACCGATCACTTTTTGCTCTAAAATTCAATTGCGCTTAAAGGCGGAATGATTTGAGGATGTTGAAGAGGTAACAAGATTTTCCAAACGTTTTCCAGCCACTTCACCGTCGTCTTATCGAGTGTGTTGAACGTTGCGGGGATTATGCGGAACATTCAAAGTAGTAAAATCTCATTATAAAGTTTTAATATTTTTTTATTCAATTTTAGGATTTTTGTCAGTCACATCGTATACGCTACATGTACCGAGAACATGATTTATGACGAGTCCGCCTTCGGTATTGAAAGCGGCTCAATTGAGATTAACGCCTCAAATTGACGCGAAGGATTGAAAGATTGCCTCCAATGTGACGTAAACACGCGATAATAGGTGAATGAGGCTTCTCACGGTCGCGAAAATGTGTGCATTGAGCTGACAAGAGAAGTTTGCGAAGCAAGAAATGTATAAATTAGGCTACGTTGCTGTAATACACACGCGATTCCGTTTTTTTATTATTTATTTTTTTTAGGTCGTTAAGCTCGAGTGGAATTTGGACGCGCCTTTGATCGTGAACGATTATTCGTGAATATACCCTGTGCGGTATGTGGGTCTTATTGTTAACTAAATTCACAAAGCCAGCTCTTTTTGCGCCGCTCTCTGTGACTCTTCGCTTTTCGCGCAATCAAAAAGATTAATTAAACGGTCTCATTAATATTAACAATGAAATATTATTATAATATTTATACAGAACAACGGAGCTCTAAATACTATCAAAAAGAATAACAATCTTCTTTGCAATATTTTTTTTTCCATATTGCGAATAGAGTTCTCGCGTCATTATACAGATGTAACATTTATGTGTTACATATTAATCAATATATAATTATTAATTTATTATTCTTTTTCTTGCTCTTTTTCCGAAACTTCTAAAAGATCATCTGCTTTCGTCGGAGGTGACGTTAATCGAAACCTCCGAGATTCGCGAAGCGATTAGCACCATCCAAGGGCGAGAATAGTAATTAAACGCCGTAAAAATATATAATATATCACAGGCAAGCATACGTATGCAAATACCGTGTCGCAATACTGGAAATTCGCGAATGTTGTTAATATACAATGTCACTTCTCTCAACGAGGAGTGACTTAGCACCATGTTTTTATTCTCGCATTTCTTGATGATAAAAAAGAAGAAAGAACTAAGCACAAGCACGTTTGTTGTATACATTACACTATTCGTGTGGCCCCATGTTGCTCGGATTTATCGCGGCGGTGTCGATTTTTTAGCATCATTTCGCGTTTTGTTCAGATCGGTGAATCTTGCAAAATCAACGGGCTCGAGAAAGCTAAATGCCAATTGTTTGATTATTTTGAATATTAAAGTGCTCGAGATAATAATTTAATTAATTGCAGCGCGTTCATCGATTCAATTAATTGCGTGATATTGCGCGTCGAAAATAATTATAATTAACTGACTTGTTATCGCATGAAAATCCAGATGTTGATTATAATTACTGCCGCTTTGAAATCGTCACGCGACTAATAATAGTTAATTGCTGGTCGAGTTTATTAGTACAACAATCATCGATATCCTGTAATGTGGAAGTAAATAGAAGAGTATTGTCGAGATGCGAAATATTGAAACTTTACCGATGAGAGTCACACAACGATATTTATGCGTTCTTGTTTCGAGATGAAAGCTATGAAACGCGCGTAAAATAAAGATTTGCACGAGTGAGCGATAGGGGGAAAGAGAGAACAACAGTACGAGATTTTCATTGATAAGCATATTAGCACATGTCTGTCTCTTCAAGTTTTCTGCGCATTAATTTATCTTCAACATCCGAGCACTAGCCGTATACACGCACACCCAAATAGCACACAAATGTACGTTTCCGAGTGAAGCCGAAACGACGGACCGACGGACATTACATTATCACACATGCTCCCGAACGATTTTATGATGCATTTTAATCACAGAGGCGGCGAGAGACGTCTCTTCAAAAAAGCGCTCGTTCGCCGGCGAATCCGGCGCAAAGCGAAGCGAGCGAACGAACGAACGAACGGACGAACGAACGAACGAACGAACGAACGAACGGTAAAATCGATTCAACTGGAGATTGAAAACGAGTCTCGTTAACAAAGGGGATATCACACACTCGACAGAGCTGCCCGTCTCGCTCGTCGACGAGAGACTTGTGTGCCCGCGCACTAATCTCGCAGCCTGACACGTTTGCTATCACACATTCGTGCCTCGCAACAATGGAAAAATAAAAATTTCTGATCACGCGCACGCACGCGCGAGGTTTCGATCGGTTTCAGTCTGCTTCTTAATCGTCTATCAAGTGCGAGTATCAATCGCTCACGAGGATCAAATTTCCGAAGAAAGACTTGCAAGAAGCGTGTTCTTCGCCACTTCTCGCGATGCAATCCGCTCTCGAGAATTGGTAAGCCGGCTAAACCAAGAAAACTGATCGAGTTGAGCAATGAATTAATTCGAATGATGATTTTATGTGTATTATTGCGCGTTCGATGACGATAAATTATTGCTTTATTTCACTCCAACGAGATCAAGTACGTGGCTGCTGACATCTGAGTGTTCGGATTAGGCCAAGAACTACCTATGTCGTTTCTTGACGTTCGGATATGACGTACCGGGTTTTAACACTCCGATGAGTGCCATTTCCGATTTGACAAGGTGGAAAAATATGAGAAAGTAGACTTTGGAAGAAAAGCGGATAAAATTGAGAAGAAACGAAAAAGGCGCTCGCTGCTGGGCAAATCGAAAAATTTTCCATTTTTCTTTAAAAAATAATTAAGAAAATATATCCTCTCGATTTGTGTGCGATAAAACAATAATTGCGCTATGATTTATCGAGTGACTTCATCTCGGATCATGTTGACTATTTACGAAATGAAACCTACATTCGTCTCTCTATCTGCAATTATTTAAAAAGTGGCTCGATCAATCTTCGATTTAATCGTATCGATCTGAGGAAACACCAGTTCTCGATTCACTCAACTCGCGTTGTTCCACATGGACGATCTAATTGCGGTGGACGAAGAACGTGCCGTTCGCCGAAACATTGTATACTGCAGCATGAGCCAAACCTGTCCCGGAGATTTCTCGTATACGATTCTGTCGTCGTCGTCGTCGTCGTCATCGTCGTTGTCGGCTTCGTCGCCGTCGTCGGATCACTAATATCATTAACGGACG